AACATGGCAGGTCTCCTAAACTGCATTCCCATCATGAATGAGGCAATTAGGAATTTGCTCTGTCAGGCCCTTTTGTTCCAAAAATAATTTTTTCCCCCTTAGACAGTAATTTTTCTTTTTTAAAAAAATTAAAACAGATAGTGAAGAATCTATTTTAGGAATTTCTGCAAACTGAGTTATATAACTGAAAACGTGGCAGGCTATGAGAAGTTAAACGTGAGTTTAATCTATGCCCTGGTTTAATCATGGTTTATTGAATACATCAAAATGGGCTATGTTTACATAATCAGCTAAGCCAAAATGATATTTCTAATTATCATAATGTATGAAAATTTATTAATGCTTATGCCTAGTTATCTGCAAGAGCAGGAAGAGAACTTGGCAGCCTTGTTTGAGAGTCTTCTCTTGAGTAAACAAAGTCTTGACTAAGGGATAAAGTGTTTGCAAAATCAAAATTTATAGCCATGCCTACTAAGAAGCCTGACATAGGTGTCAATTGTTAGAAGTGGACAAAAGTGTTTAAAACAAGGAGAGAAAAGGACAAAGATGACTTTGTAGAAATGAGAATGTTATAAAACAATCCATCAGATAATAAATTAGTGGCTTACAGTGCACATATCACTTTATTGAAAATATTATTTTGAAAGAAAATTTCGCATCAATGGTACAGTGTATGGATGGAAGGGTTGCATTAGTGCTTTTTTTTTTTTTTCCCAGATGTGGTTAAAGGTGAAAAAGTCAAGCCTGTTTTTGAAGAACCACCTAACCCAACAAATGTTGAAACCTGTTTGCAAAAAATTAAGGCAAATGATCCCACTCTACAAGAAGTCAATCTGAACAACATAAAGGTACTTTTATCAAAGTCAAAGTCAAATTCAATTGTTTTATTTGTGCCAGTCTTACCTGTAAAATATTTTGAGATGGGCTTTATTTTTTTTTCTGGTCTAGACTATAGCTTCATCCATGAAAGATATTATGAAGCAGATATTGAAAGTTCATGTCAATATTCAAATTGAATTTTTTTTAAAAAAGACTATATATTTGCATTCTCTACAAACATGAAAGTCACCAGGGTAATGATATTTCAGAGGATGATGTATTGCAATTTCATTCCCTTTGAAAAGATGTGCTGAAACATTTAAAAGACCAACAATCAGCCTTATAAACACAACACTTTTGAGTGTGAAATCAAAACAACCATGTGCTCTCTGTTGTGGAATTATTGCTTATGCCTCTTCCTTTTTTAAAGCTTCTTTATTTCTATTTGACATTTATTAGCTTTAGATTGATCCTAATTTATTTGCTGTACCAATTACCTTGTTTTATTTTAAGTATTTTGTTAGTTGTCTTGATGCTATTTTATAGGAAGGTGGGATATGAATTATATTATTAAATGTGTATAATCCAAATGAAAATTATAGACCTGCTTAAAAAATAGATTCATTTACTGTCCAACACAGTTTTGACTTAGTACCACTTTGACAGAACCAGGTCACTATATGGCTACAACTGAACCTATTAAATTCAAGCAGTTACACTAGAGTTGTTTTTTTTTATCTTATACAGAACATCCCAATTCCAACTCTTAAAGACTTTGCAAAGGCTCTGGAAACCAATAACCACGTGAAAAAATTCAGCCTGGCAGCTACTCGAAGCAATGATCCTGTTGCAAGGGTGAGGTTTTCTTGGGGAAAATTGCATATTCTATTTTAATACTGGGTTGATAGCCTGCAAAGTATTGGGAAAACAGTGCAGGATAAATAAATACGCTAAAATATAAACAAACTAAAGTTTCATGTTTGAAAAGCTGCAGGCTTGCACCGTTTTGAATTTTCCATAAACGTCTTACTAGACTTTATTTAACATGTTCATTCTGTATCCAGCTATTTTCACACTATATTGAGATGACAACGGAGGAAAGATGAATTCTGAAATGTAATATTTCTTAAGGCAAACAGAAATAGAACTGATACCAGTCCTTTCACCGCTGTGTTTCTTTTCAGGCTTTTGCAGATATGCTAAAAGTAAACAAGACACTGAAAAGTCTAAATATAGAATCCAATTTTATCACTGGGACAGGCATCCTTGCTTTGGTTGATGCTCTGAAAGGAAATGAAGTACTGGCAGAAATCAAAATTGACAATCAGGTAAGGAAAGGATAGCAAAGTGGAATTTAGGATTGGCCGGACTCTAAAAATTGTTGTTTGGCGATGAGCCTTGTTTGGGATCTGGTAACAAGACAGAGGTCAAAGTGGCAGGATAAGCCTGATTTAATATATATTTGATTTTTCTTAGTACGTTAAAATTAAGTCATGCAGGAACCCTCGCTGTGGAAACACTGTTTCTTTTACACTCGGAAATATGTTGCTATAAGAGATTAGAATTCCCCTAGTCTAGCATTTTCCCTCTTACAGCGGCAAAGTAGATTAATAATGCTTCTACTTCTTGTGCCATATCCGTTATTGGACGTTGGCAATCACGTTGGCGATCCTGTTTTTATCAGCAGCCGCACGAAAAAGTGCTGCTGAGTTTTGTCCAAACCAGTCCCTTAGATTTTGAAGCCACGATGTTCTTCTTCTGCCTGGACCTCGTTTGCCTTCAATCTTTCCCTGGAGGATTAAATGGAGTATGCCGTATTTTTTCTGTGTGTCGCATCACATGTCCGAAATATTCTAATTTTCATTTTTTTAATTGTTTTGATGATTTCCCTTGGCTTTCCCAGGCGGCTTATCACCTCCTCATTTCTGATCTTGTCAACACAGCTTCTACATAACAACCGCCTGTAAATCCATGTTTCAAATGTGTCTAGTCTCTTCAGGTGGCCTTCTGTCCGAGACCAACTCTCTACTCCATAGAGCAGGATAGAAAAAAATACAGCATCTGACAAGCCTGATTTTCAGTCTTAGGCTTAGGTCGTGAATTAATAATGCTAGGAAATTATTTTTTTGGGGGGGGGGAGGGATTAGTTTCTGGTTTGTTCAAAATGCAAGTCACTGCTTGATTGTGGACAGGTAGCCCTCAGCTGAGCCCAAGATTTAAGTTGCTAACTGAGAAATTAAGTGAGTTTTGTCCCATTTTACGACTTTTCCTGCCACAGTTGTTAGGCAAATTACTGCAGTTGTTAAATTAATGACCCAGTTGTTAAGTGAACCTGGCTTCCCCATTGATTTTGCTTGTCAGAAGGACACCAAAGGGGATCACACAACCCTAGGACACTGCTAGTGTCATGACTATGAGCCAGGTACCAAGCACCTAAATTTTGATCAAGTGACCACAGGGATGCGGCAATGGTCAGAACTGTGAAAAATGGTCGTAAGTCACTTTTTTCAGTGATGTTGTAACTTCGAACAGTCACTAAATGAACTGTTGTAGGTCGAGGACTACCTGTAGATATTATTACCCAGCACCATTTTCACGGCAGGGCAACTAGCTAAGTTTTCAGCAAGCTACTACATGGTGCTTGGAACTACAGTTTGAGTTATCCATTTGTTTGTGATTTTTGTCTAAAAATCTTTCAAGTGTTTCATACATCTGTCTCTTTTTACATTTGCTGCTCTCCCCATTTTAGTTTCCCTGACTAAAACCAAGGTAACTTCCACACTGCAAAGCTAAAGTAAGTAGCTGGTGTAGGAATGTGTGAATTGAACTGATATATGGCAAGGGGAATAGAGACCTGTTTAGCCCTTTACTATCCATTGCAATTCCCTAACCCACTGGTGGCGAACCTACGGCATGGGTGCCAGAAGCGGCACTCAGAGCCCTCTCTGTGGGCACGCGCGCCGTTGCCCCAGTCCTAGGCCTTCAGCTGGGTTTTATAAAACCTTTTTGCTTTAGGCCTCCACCACCGTGTGCCAAAAAAAAAGGTTCAATCAATCAATCAATCAATTTCAACTTCTCGCAGGAAAAAAAAAAGATCTTGCAAAGTTGGAATTGATTGATTGAACTTTTTAGTCCCACCCAGCCTGCCGTTACCACCGCAGCCATGCCCACCCAATGGGCCACACCCATCCAATGGGCCACACCCATCCAGTGGGCCACACCCCCCCGGCACCCGACAATGCATAAGTGGGTTTTGGGTTGCAGTTTGGGCACTCGGTCTCTAAAAGGTTCGCCATCACTGCCCTAACCACAGATGAGAAATGTTTCAACTGGAATCAATGATTTTTTTAAAAAATGCTATTCCATCCAGCAATTACGGGAAGTACAGCTTCAGTCAGGACTATAGCGGAAGCAAATAATCACACCAACGTAATAGTCTTCTGTTGCCATAACAATTCTTTGATTATGACAAGCTCCACCACCCCACACCAAATATTAAATCTAGTTTAGCTCTTAGGAGACTTTAGTGTTGTGCATGAAGTAGCATGGATAATGATGATATAATAGGATGTATAATATTTTCCATTTGATTTGATCTCGGTTGCTTTCTCAGAGGCAACAGCTTGGCACAGCAGTGGAGATGGAAATTGCTCAGATGCTGGAGGAGAATTCTCAGATTCTCAAATTTGGGTACCAGTTTACAAAGCAAGGCCCAAGAACCAGGGTAGCAGCTGCCATCACTAAGAATAATGATCTAGGTAAGATACCAACCCCTCAGATTGGTGAAAGTTTAGGAGCATCCTTACCGGAGAAAATACTGGATTCAATTCAGATTAGGAAAATAGAAAACGTCTGGTCTTCTTTGTACCATTACAAAATGACACATCTGATACACAAGGATGAACAAGGCTCTCTTAACACAAAACAGAATTGATGAAGCAAGAGAGAACTAGAAAGCAGGAACCCAAAGCATGCATATTTGTTTTGGTTAAATAATAAATAGAAATGATTTGCTATCCAAATTTACCTTGAAGATTTACTACAAAATAAAAGGATGACAAATATTACTGATCCCGTGGTGGAAGGGGTGAACACAAGTGTAGACATAAATAAAATTGTTTTATCAATCACCTTTACAAAAACAGTTACAAAATTAGAAAAAAATATTTTGTGACACTTACAAAGCAATGCTTCTTCTTCCTCCTCCTCTTCTTCTTCTTCTTTCTCTCTCTCTCTCTCTCTCTCTCTCTCTCTCTCTTTCTCTAGTTCGCAAGAAGCGAATGGAAGAACACCATTAGCCTTGTCTCTGAGGATGTGAGGGAAGAGAACGATTTCATCACAATCTCAGAAAATTTACAGATTTAAAGGGAAGATACTGGAAAAGCTTTAGAACAAGACTGTTCATGTTCCATTACCTCAATTCATCCTTTCCTGCTATTTGACCACCATAATTCAGCCTAATTTTCTCTTTCCTAGCAATCAACAATCATGCTCTGAATTCAAGATGCTCTGAGCTGAATGGAAGAGCAACTGGAATTTGGTGTCAAAACCGGGAGAGCTGCAAGTTAGTCTTTTCTCCCCCTTCCATTTAATGCTAATCCATGAGTGATTAGGAAATTTTCCTGCACCAGTCCACTGAAACAAGTGGGAATTGTTTAGTGGATTGTGCTTTCTATGTCATACAAACCGCCACCTCCTCTTGCCTCATAGCAAACCTAAGTCTGCTCTTTGTTTCCTGTTATCTTTCCACAGCTGTGTGCAAACTATAAAGAAAAACAACTTTTCATGCCAAGGTGGAACTGTTCTCATACCAGCACACTCTGCCAAACAAATTAATCTTCAAATTCCAGACTACAGTGTGCCATAAGCTAGACCAGGGGTAGGCAACCTTGGCTCTTTTACGACTTGTGGACTTCAATACCCAGAATTCCTGAATCAGCCATGCTGACTCAGGAATTCTGAGAGTTGAAGTCCACAAGTCATAAAAGAGCCAAGGTTGCCTACCCCTGAGCTAGACAGTAGGTATATTGCAAACTATTGCTTCTGGAGCTGATAACTGGAGACAAATCTCACAATAGGCTTTGTTTATACTAAATTATGATTTTCATTAACCTTATCTTAGAACACACTGTAGGATCTAACAATCAGGACTTATTCACATAAAATGCAACACCATACCTTAGTACTCATTTGCTATGTACGTGTAAATATGACCACTATAGTATTGTGTTATGTGTGAACGAAGCCACTATGGGCTCATCCAACAAAATTCTGAACTAACACTATGCATGAATGCAATGATAGACAAGCCAAAACTGGAACTACAATACATGTTAGCATTCTTTTTTCTTTATATTTAGGAACTCATGCTTTAGCTGTACTTATCTTTCACATTGATTGGACCCTTCTAAAGGTAGAAGAAATCCTCTAAAGAAAATATGCTAATTTATCCTTGGCATAATATTATAATTAGCACAATCCATGATTTGAATTTTTTTTCTGATTCTAGCTTTCTGGCTGACTGTAAATCATTACTTAGTTAAATCAGTCCTAACCATGGTTTGCCTTGATATGAATGGAGACAATAAGCTACATATTGTATAGTGTAAATCAATTATCTTCCAAAATAGGAAATCATCAAGAGAATATTGTTTCCTGAACATAAATATTAGAATCTTCAGATCCTGGCTACAAGTTAAACCTCTTCTTCAAGTCACAGTTGAGGGATATTAAACTGAAAACAATTTCATGTCACCACTCAGTTTATGATAAAGTTTCATGATTCCATCTTGTATGATTGCAAGGACTGTCGACTATGTGTTCACATACGTTACTATTAGGAGAGCCAATTTCCTAATATAATTTGCCAACCTAAATAGCTTCAGCTGACCTTTTATTTTTAAATTATTTGTTGGTTTGTGTATATGTATTAATAGGAGGCCAATATAATTACTAACAACCCATTGGCTGTACATAAGTGTTCTAATAATAATGTGTCTGTCAAATTGCTTTTAAGTTTGTTTTAATTTCTGATATTAGACATTTGCAATTACTATTGGCCACTGGATTTAGTGATTACTAGATAATGAGTATCTTGATAAGAAGCTGCTTGTCTTTATTCTATGTAATTTACTCAGGAGGATAGATTTCAGCTACTACAAAAGGCTGGTATTTTAAAATGTTTCTTTTGTTTGATCACAGTTTATGCTTCAACAACTGAGTAATAGGTCAAGCTTTAGAAATAAAACAGGTAAAAAAAAAGGATTGGCTTGACAAGAAATAGGCTCCAACAATAAAAAAAAAAAAAAAAAGCTGGATGGGAACTGTGTCTGATAGAAAATGATCTCACTATATTGGGTGAAAAAACATATTAGGAATCGAATTAGGCATTTTAAAGTTCCTATTTTATATTTCAATCACCTGCAATCTCTTAGCTGTAAAGTTTCAGTCATCACACTAATATAAATATTTTAATTATACATAAGCTAATATGTCAGTGCATACAGCATTGAAGTTACATGATGGTCTGTGTGGATTGTATCTAAATTTAACTATTAATTGACCAATTGTGAGAAATTTCAGACAATTGCTTTATATATAGACTGCAGCCATCCAATGTAAGAGCAGGCTTGTGATGGTGGCTTAGAATTAAACTATGTTCAATTTTTTTTAACATCACCACCAAATTAAGTTACGTTTCCCATGAAACCCTGAAAGTATTCAAGTAATATACTATAGATCATAAGAAGTCTGGTAACACCTTTTAAGACAAAACATATTTTATACAAAGGATTTTTATTAAAAAGAGAAAAAAAAGGACTTGCAGTAGTACTGTATCACAATCATGCCATTGTTGTCCACTAGAGGGAACAACAGCACACCAAATGCAGTTAGGAAAAGTTTCCAATTTGGAAATCATTGCCTTTGATCTTCTAATAACAGAAGATGAAGTTTGTATACAACTCAAAATAAGTATTTCCCTTCTTTAAAAAAAACATAAACAAGTCTACGTTAACAATGAAGCACTGCAGGTCCTGCCATTGGTGACAAAAAACTACCCTCCGTGATTCCCTGAGAGAACAATATTTGTAGATTTCTTTCTTTAGTCCTTTTTTCTGCGTTTATAGAATTATGGAATGATTTATACTTAACACTGGAAGTTTTTGAGAAGAGACCGGACAGCCATTTGTCCGAAATGGTATAGGATTTCCTGCCTGAGCAGGGGGTTGGACTAGATGACCTCCAAGCTCCCTTCCAACTTTATTATTATTATTACTATTGTTATTATTATTAATGCATGTATTATATATATGTATGTATATATATGTGTGTGTGTATATATATGTATGTATGTATTTGTTTTCGTAGATTTTCACGGGTACAGGTATGCAGGTCTTGGCATAGTCGGGTCTTTTTCCGTGTAAGATTGAGAGTATCTTGGCGACGTTTCGACAAGGTCCCACTCGTCATCTTCAGGCTGGGGTCTTTGGCTTTGTGCTTGGGTGAGCAAAGTGTGATCGGAGCTACCCCCACCAATATTTATAGAGAGACAGCAGCTCCGATCACACTTTGCTCGCCCAAGCACGAAGCCGAAGACCCCAGCCTGAAGATGATGCGTCGAAACGTCGCCAAGATACTCTCAATCTTACACAGGAAAAGACCCCAATACACCAAGACCTGCATATATATGTATGTGTATATATATGTATATATGTGTATGTAGGTCTTTGGTTGTTCGGGTTTTCTCCCGCGTAAAATTGGAAGTGTCTTGGCGACGTTTCGACGAAGTCTCATTCGCCATCTTCAGGCTGGTGTAATGAGACTTCGTCGAAAGGTCGCCAAGACACTTCCAATTTTACGCGGGAGAAAACCCAAACAACCAAAGACCTACATACAAATACCCGTGAAAACCTCAGAAAACAAATATGTATGTATATATATATATATATATATATATATATATATATATATGTTTATATATGCGTGTGTGTATATGTATGTGTATATATATGTATATATGTGTATGTGTATATATATGTATATATATGCGTGTGTGTGTGTATATATATGTATATGTGTATGTATATATGTGTGTATGTGTGTATATGTGTGTGTGTATATATATATGTATATATATGTGTAAATAGACACACACACATATGTATATGCATATGTATGTGTATACACACACACACACACACACACACACACACACATTTGCCTGGTTCGCAGTTCGCAGTTCCTTACAGTACTTTCAACCCTAAAGGAGGCAGCTGGTTAAGCTATACCCCCAAATCCACACACCACAGTTAACGGGAACCCCAATTGGTGTGTGTGTGTGTTTGTGTGTGTGTGTGTGTGTGTGGCACCCAGGCCTCCCCGAGGCCCTTCACTGACCTGCACAGGAGCGTCGTGAGAACGCGGCCGCCGGTCACGGGCGGGGAGGGGGGGGGGTGAAGGGAAAGGAAGGTCGGCCGGGGACAAGACCTTCTCCTCAGCGGGGAGCGCGTCCAGAGCATGCGCGAACCTCGGCGCAGGCGCAGAGGGGCGGCCTGGCCTGAGGCGCGCTCCTTGCCCCCAGCCCGCGGGCCGCCGGGTCTCCAGCGCGCACGCGCACGGGGCCGCCGCTCGCTTCCCGCCTTTCGCGCCTCGGGGCGCCGCTTTCGCTCGGCGGCCTCCTGAGGGAAGCGGCGCCGCCGTTGCTGCCCTGCCCGCTATGGCCCCGACCTGCCGCTGAGCTGCCAGCCGCCATGGCCGAGTCGCTGCCCCTGCCCGGGCTGTCGCTGCGGGAAGAACCGCTGCCCGGACCCGGCGCCGCCGAGGGGGAGGCCGAGCTGTCGCTGGGCTTGGCGCGCACCAAAACGCGGTCGTACGGCAGCACGGCCACGGTGCTCGCCCCCTTGGCGGAGCGGTACGTGGAGCACCGCCTCAGCCCCGGAGACACCTTGCCGGGCTTGGCGCTCAAGTACGGCGTGACGGTAAGCAGGGAGGCGGGCTGGCTGGCCGGGAGCCCCTGGAGGCCACGGCCGGGGCTCTGGGGAGGTGCCCGTGGAGGGTCGCCCCTTCTTCCACCCGCGAGGGGACAGGGCGCCCCCCATGAAAGAGGGCAGAGGGGCCCCCTTTCTCTGCCAGCAAGGGATCGGGGGGGGGCCTCCTCCGCCAGCATGGGCAGAGCTCGCCACCCCAACACCAGGAAGGCCAGAGGGAAACCCTCTCCATGAGAGAAAGAGGGCACCCCCAACACGAGCAAGGGCACAGACCCTCCGTGAGCATGGGCAGGGGGCACCCCCTCTCCATGAGAGAGGGTCTTCCCTCCACCAGTACAGGCAGGATTACTCCTCCAACGCAAGGAAGGACACAAGGAGCCCCCCTCTACCGTTATGGGTAAAAGGACCCCCCTCCATGAAAGAGAGGGCACCCCAACACGAGCAAAGGCACAGGGAACCCCCCTCTGTGAGATAAAGGGCAGAAGGTACCCCCAATATGAGCAAGGGCATAGGGAACCCCCCTCCGTGAGATAAAGGGCAGAGGGTACCCCCAATATGAGCAAAGGCACAGGGAACCACCCTCCATGAGATAAAGGGCACAGGGCACCCCCCAATATGAGCAAAGGCACGGGGAACCCCCCTCCATGAGATAAAGGGCAGAGGGTACCCCCAATACAAGCAAGGGCACAGGGAACCCCCCTCCATAAGATAAAGGGCAGAGGGCATCCCAACACGAGCAAAGGCACAGTGAACCCCCCTCCGTGAGATAAAGGGGAGAGGGTACCCCCAATATGAGCAAGGGCACAGGGAACCCCCCTCCATGAGCATGGGCAGAGGGTCCCTTTCCATAAGCATATGCTGAGGACCTGCTTGGTGGCACTGCCACGCACCCACTTTTGACACTCAGACTCTGCAGCTGAAACAAGAGAATATGAACTTTTCTCAAATCCCCAGCTCCAGTCCAGTAATCCCTGCTAGATTTGGTCAGCCTCAGATAGGAAAGCTTCTGGGTGAAAAACGGCATATTTTTCACTTTTTCCCCACTTCTCAAAAACTAGAGGAATTTGCTGGAGGAGGAGGGAAATGCTTCTGCCCTCGTGCAGAGTGCTTTCCACTGGAATCATTGCAGCCGACTTGGTGTGTCTCTTTGAGCTAAGCAGTTTACATAACTTTGGATTTTCTCCTCATCTAACGCACATCTCAGACCAATATAGCTAATATTAAGGGGTCACATCTTAACCCGCGCACAGGGAATCGGTAGGGGGTTTCAGACAGACAGTCTTTTCATACAAAAGGAGATTTGGAGGGCATCAGAGGTCTCCATTACAACTGTAGAGTTATTGCAATGAATGGATGTGGTATCTAACAGAGACTTGAATTTGGAATTTTCCTTTGAGCGTGGCTTGATCGCTGGGCCCTTTGAAGGTTGAAAATGAAAGTCAGTCTTTGAACATAAGAAGATGGCGTGCATTACAGAATTGCTGTCCTTTCCTATCTTTGAACTGTGGCGTTTCGATTATAAATCATTTGAAAGTTTGCCTTGCTGAAATGATGGTTATGATTTGTTGAATAGCAACCGTTGTTGGCACAATCAAGATTTGTAATACATCACTATTAATAGGAAAAGGTTGAAGAGTGTATGCATAATAAGCCAACCTAGGTATACGTGCTCATTCTGAGACACTAATTCTATTAGCTGCATTGAATATACATTGAATATTACTCAAAATTGAGACAATTTCCATAGAGTTGTAGACCACATTTAAGACTAAAACAGTTTTTAATCCAGGTAGGTGATGACTTTTATTATAATTGCTTTCAAATGTGGGCCTGTGAGAGAGTTGTATTGCAATAGGTCTGTAATGCCAAACCTAAATTAAAAAGTTTCTGGGGGAAAAGTGTGAGATCTTATAAGAGTCTTCTAAACTTTATGCTGTTCAATCATTAAACTGCGGAATGAAAAATAGTCTTTTAACGTGGTTATGGGGAGAAAGTGTAAAAGTTCTAGTTATATAATAGCTTTAGGTACATTATTTATTAAACTGCAATTAGCAACTAGAGCATCAGGTTGCTAGTTCTTTGTGAAAACAAATGCCTGAGGCAACATTTGGTTTTTATAGTTAATGTATGAAAATGATATAATCCTTTTGGAAACTGAATTGCTGTAAAAATTCAAAACACAAAATTGAGTTTCCATTTTTAATTTGTTCAGTTAGAGATGTAAATTAGTTTCCAAAATGGTTTCCCCCACCACCACCAACTTTTACATATGCCTGTATGAAAGATCTGGTATTGCAGCTGTAACAATACCAGCCCCCATATGGAAGGATAGCCAAAAATTAACCGCATTAAAGATTCATCTTCAGAAATAAAATTATGTAATAAGGTAGCTGCAGGCTATTTTAATCCTTGCTTCACTTGGATTGTAAATATAACTCTTTCTGTTTCAGATGGAGCAAATAAAAAGAGCAAATAAACTTTTTACAAATGACTGCATATTTCTTAGAAAAACATTAAATATCCCAGTTATACTGAAAAAGGCGCTGCTGTTTAATGGATGTAACTCACTGGAGTCTCCAGAAGATGAGTCTGACAATCCCGCTACTTGTGAAGAAAGACCTATGACTGCTCAGGAAGATAGTTCTTCTCCCAGTCCTCCAGAGTCCGACAATCGACTTCCCCCACCTGAAGAACTCTCGGCCAAAGATTTTCTGCACAGAATGGATGTGCAGATTAAATTGTCCAAACAAGCAGCTAAGAAATTAAAATCTGAAAATGACAGGTAAAATTTTATCCATCTCCTTATCTAAAATATGTTTTTATTTGAAACTGCTGGGAAACTTTAATAGATGATAATATAACAAATAATAATAGTAGTAATAGAAATCAGTATATAAAACTCTTGTTAAGAAAAGCTACTGAATTTTCAATATCATAATTACAAATGATCCCAAAGCAAAAGTTGGTATGTGTCTAGAATTACTTTGACTCTCCATGTTGAATTGATTAGTGAAATTTTAGGGGTATGTGTGTGTACACAGAAATATATAGACATATATATGACATACCCCAAATCAATCTGATGGAGATAAATAGAAGGGAATTTATTAGATATAGAGAAGACAGTATTGACCTAGAGCTGAACCAAGAATATTTCTCATTAAATTACTTGAAAGCTAATCCAGAAGAGATGAGGTAGGAGTGGAGAGTAGGGAGATGATGCAACAGAATGTCAGTTGTGACTATATAATGATAATACAGTACATCTTGTTTTCTCGCTTTAAAGTTTTTACATGATACATTAGTGGACACTAAATGCCCTGACCATTTCACATGTACATCTATGCTACTAGAAAAAGCTTCTAGGTTGCTTTGCTCTTTCTAGAGCAGGGGTCCCCAACCCACAATCTGTGGACCGGCACCGGTCCGCGGCATGCCAGCAACCGGGCCGTGAAAACAAGCGAAGCCCCATCCACAAGATGCAGGAAGAATGCAAAAACACGCCCTCTCCGGGCTGCGGAAAAACCTTTTTCCATGGAACTGGCCCCTGGTGCCCAAAGGGTTGGGGGCCACTGATCTAGAGTAAGAAAATGCACTTTCAGAGGATTGGAAGAAAAAGAATGAATAGATTTTTTTTGAAGGATCTTCTACATAGCTATAGTAGTCAAATATAACATTATGTTATGAGCATGCTGTTGGTGAGAACCTTTAAAGCCCTGCATGGAATGGGGACCAAATTAATTGCACAACTGTCTTTGACCCATTACGACAGCCTATATAGGATTTCCATTATGGGCCCCGGGGGTAAGTTGCTGCTCAGAAGAATAACATTTCTGCAGCAGTCTTCCAATGGCCTACTTTGAAATAATTCTATTAAAATTGGATAAACCTCTGAGGTGTAAACTATAAATAACTTTGCATATTTTCATAAGTTTCCTTTTTTCCTCAACAGGGAATATGGTGAGGAAAATTCCTATGCAATTTCTTCCTATCAGCAGTAGAAAATGAATAAAGAGCTGGAATGAAAGCAGTTCTTAAAGAACTAAATGTTTGAAATTCAGAAGATCTTTTGGATTTGATATATTATATTGTACTTGTTACAAATCATATATAAAAATTCCACTGACTGTTGCACTAAAAGTATTTGAATGTTTGCCTTCTTTAGGTTAATATTCTTTTACTATTCATTAATAAAGGAAATGCTTCTCCAAAATATTGCCTTTATATTTCTGCTAAAAAAATGGCACACTAGCAACAATGTATTCCTAAGAGAACTTCAATACAGATTTTTTTTGTTTTCGTATACATATATATAAGATAATATTAAAGGAATAATCATTTATTTTTAAAAAAGCCCTGTGGTCTTGACTCAGACATGGTTGTAATACAAATTTTGTGAACTTGATGCTGATGGATGCACCATGATTAAGTTGAATGTTTATGCACATTTGTATATGTCTCTCTGTGTTGACATATTTAAAGATATGTTCTTAAAGTGAATCAGTTTTAGCCGATTATTTTAGGGGAAAAAGTTGGGATTTTAAAATATGTACAGTAAAATACTTTATTTGGGGAAAAAGGGATCAAACTGAGTAAAATGTATTTTTTTTTCTTTGTGAAAAAGTGTTTGGAACATATTTTCTTGTTAGCACATATACGTAGTTTCATGTATTGAATATAAAATGCACTTTAAAGAGTTATTGCCTTTGTTGTTTGACGTATCTGATGCTTTGCAACTACTGTACATTTCAGATATGATTTGTTTCATATGCTATATTAAAATTTCTTATAGCGTCTTTGCTCCTTTTTCCAACTATTTTATCTTTATTCGAAATCAAAATAGTTTGAATAAATTTATCTTTGTCTTGTAATTCTTAGAAGGAGAATATTCATATTCTAGCTGAGGAAGACAAGATCACAGGATGTGTAACTTCATCCTGTTTTGGTAATGGGAACAATTTATTGCATGCTTGAGGAGTGGTGCTGTTCACTCTAAAGCCAATCTTACATAACAAATTTAAAGAAAACTCTTGTGTGCAAATAAAATGGCTGGAGCTTTTTATTTTAGACTAGGAAAAAACCCAAAAGAAATAAATAAAATTGATGCTAAAAGAAATCTATCTTCAGAAAATTTGATGTCCATTGTTAGGAAAACTGATGAATAGTAGATTGGAGGTATATAAAACAACATAGTTTTGTAGATGAGCGATCTAAAAATACTATATCCTCTGACTTTAAACATCAAATGAATCTTGGCCTATGACACATTTCCTGTTTAATTTTTTCTCCTTTTATTCAAACATTGTGAAGTGTGTTTTCAAATGGATTGAAAGTTTCAAGTTCATCCTGTAGATTTACTGTCTGCTTTCTTTAAAGTATCATTTAAGCATTTTGATGTTTGAAGGAAACTATTTTGAAACTCAATGTGAGAATGATAATAACTTGTCCGATCTCCGGTTTAAAGACAGCTATATGTAGAATTACATTGGGAATACAGTTAATTTATAAGTGACAACTCTGTCAATTTGGAAAAAAATGTTGTTTCCAATTATTATTTTACAGAAACAGAGTTTTAAAAACATTTTCTATTTCTGTTCTTAGCAGTACTTAATCATAACTCACCTGGAAAATGTTTCAACACATTTTGCATTATAGCAAAATTTCTTGCTATGTGCGTTTCTGTAAATTTCAGTAGTAAGATCACCAGTTCGAGGTATTATTTTTAAAGTAGTAATTTAAAGCGGTACCCCATGAAGACAAAACCAAGAATCTGCATTACTTTGTCTTGTAGCAAAGCATTTAATAAAGTACAGTATCAGAAACAGGATTCTATTAGAAAAGTGTATTTTGAATGCAATATATATGATAATTTGTTACATTTTCCCCAACAATGTTTTTTAAAGGTAAAAAGGTGTAAAGACACATCAGAGCATCTAAAAGATGTTTAAGTTATTTAAAAAAGCATTGGTAAGATTAGAACTAGGGAAGTGCAGGATACTTTTATTTCCCTTCGCTGGGATAGAGATAATACCAAATGTGTCTAGCAATTGTTTTCAAATGCTAAAAAGGGCAAAAATATATTATGCCTTGAAATATTATGCTGGATTGCTTACACTGCTTTTAAAAACTGACCACTCCATTCTGCACAAGCCATGGCCACGAGGGTGATGCATGAGGTGGTTTTCCGTTTGCTTTTATCATATAATATGTTGCCAAATGCTGTATTGGATGTCCCATAGTATGTTAACAGTCAGTCCTCAATTCACAGAAGAAAGCAGGGGAAAATTGACATAAATAATACACTGTTATGAAAAACATGGCATACTGAATCTGAATTATATACAGTTTTTTAAAAAAACCTTAAAGATTCATTAGCATAAGGACTGAATCATCTGTCAATTGTCCAAAGCTCTATTTAATTACAGGTAATCCTCAACCATTCATCATTTAGTTACAGATTATCCTAGACCAAGGGTAGGCAGCCTTGGCTCTTTGATGACTAGAGCTGACTCAGGAATTCTGAGTGTTGAAGTCCACGAGTCATAAAAGAGCCAAGGTTGCCTACCCCTGACCTAGACTTATAACCATTTATAACAGCACTGAAAAAAGTGACGGATGAGGGTTTTTCACACTTAACAACCGTTGCAGCATCCCCATGGTCATGTGATCAAAATTCGATTGCTTGACAACTGGCCTGTATTTACGACAATGGCATTGCACCGGGATCATGTCTCCATTTTCAACCTTCTGAGATTACGTCTGTAAGCCGTCACTGAACAACAGATTCATAAACCATTGGCACCAATGTTTTTATCCTGTTTCAAAGTTTAAGCTAGTGCGTGTCCAATTCAGAGGTATTCCCTGTTGACTAGATATGCTTCGGGCTGCCTTCTTAATTTTTCTGCTGCGCTCCTTCCCATCTCATATAAATGCAAATTCTTTTAATGACTCTTTCAAATGTACTGAGGAATACGAGACTAGTATGTCTGCAGAGTACATTACGATTCTCTTTTACAGCTTTTATTATCCAGATGGTGCTAAAATGATCTTTTTCTGAGTTAGCAGCTGCACAAGAAATTTAACCAAATACTTCTGTCTAAAACATCCATTTATGAAGGAGGGGTGCCAATGGTAACTCTTATGGATTTCAGTACTGGTCTTGCCTCATTCAGCTTTTTTGCCATGATCCCGCAAGAGAAGGGATGGGGCTGTTTGGCTAGTCTCAGCCAATGGAAGTTGGTCTTCATGGCCGACTCATATTTGGGGGATTCTCTCCCACTGATACCTAGCTTCCTCAGCTTCCAGCAGATCCATGAAGACCGCGAAGATTTATTTTGCATTTGGTAGTTTTAGTCTGAATTGCTTCTAAATCATTTTATTGCTGCAATCTATCAGTGCAGTTTATGGGGAAAAGCAAAACAAGCAAACATACAGGTGGTCCTCACCGAATGACTACTCATTCAGTGACCATTCCAACTTGCAACAATGTTGAGCTTACTACCAATCCAAAGTTCTGCCCAATGCATGCCCCCATAGTCACGTGACTGCGATCCAGGTGTTTGGCAGCATCCGGTGTCACGTTATCACAATTTGCGACCTCCCATCACGTTTCCCACAAGCAAAATCAATGGGGAAGCCTGCAGGATGTCAGGTCATCGCAGTCACGAGAAGACCTTGCTAAGTGACCTTCATGGTCTTCACTTAATGACGGTAACTGAGAACTACCATAACTGCTGTCCTTAAGCAGTGCAGTCACCTGATACCATATTTTATAATCGCATGGCTTAGCAACAGAAAATCTATTTCCAATTACTGAAATTAAGGGAAGCTACTTGTATTATTAATGGAGAAATTAAGCAGAATCAGCCCATCTTCTAACCGGAGTGCTCACTGCATGTTAATGTCATGAATTTGGAATCCCAAAATAAAAATAAATTGATTATTATAAGACAAACATAGGTCTCCTCATGTTATGTTCAGAATGAGAACTTAAATGCAGGATTTACTTCTCAAGAATTATTCAATGTGCAAGCAACATTAACTATGGAGGGGATACAATATCCTGTGAATGTAGCCATTCTAGTTTTTGAACTATGGTTTATGCCTCATTGCACTGTGGAGCCCATCCAGTTATGGCTTAATCCACAAACCATGGTTGATCAAACTGTAAACCAACATTGTGGATTGTGACTTATGGCTTAGCATGTTGTTTTAACCCAATCGTGCCTTAGTTTTTTAAAATAAAATAAAATAAAATAAAATAAAATGTGAACCGAGCCTCTGTAAAAACATGTATCCTTGTTTAAAGGGAGCTTAAATCTTCAGTGTTAATTCAGGCCAAATCAAAAGTTTACAAACACGAGACATTTATGAAACCTCGTGTTGCTAAATTATACTGCATTCCCGCAAGTCCTACCATATCACTCATCCTATATATAAATGTCTGATCCTAAGCAGACCTCTAAGCTCAAGTACTTTGCTTCACCTCTCTTTTTACCCTTAGAAATGGTTATTCACATATCATTAAGCTACTCACATCAAGAACTGTTCTTCATACATGCAGAGAAATAACACTTAATCAACAACAATGGAGGATGTGAATGACAACCGTTGCTATTGTACCTAACCGTAACACAACGGTGACAATACAGTTCTTTCTCCCTGTAAAGATCTATTTTGAAGGCTGATGCAGGGTTAAACATACAGCCATGACTTAATGGCACACGGACGGGGGGAACAAAGTGGAATGCGCAAACAGCAAGAAAATGAATATATTACAGCATTCCAACAATACTTTCTGCCTGGGACACTAAACAAGAGGTGCCACAAAAGAGAATGCAAAGGTGAGATTTCTTTGCAAGAACGAAGTTGAGCTAAACTGAGTTAATTCATTTGAGTATAGGGTTTCCTGCCTGAGCAGGGGGTTGAACTAGATGACCTCCAAGGTCCCTTCCAACTTTATTATTATAATTATTACTTGCCCCTAGTATTGCCCTTTATAATTTTTTTCAGAACACGATCTCTTAAAAGACATTTCACAAACTAGCTGTTCTCCAAAGCATATAATCTGAAAGAGCCGCTGGATAAATTAACGGGGACATGAAATGTGCAGCTGTTATACCCTGTTATCTATAAAGTGGGCAGCAAAGGGGGCTGCTGATCAAAGTTGAGAAGAAACAAATATGCGATTATAGGTTTGTTTGTTTGTTTTAACCTGGATTAATACTTTCTAATCACCTCTTTTTTTCCTGGGATGTGGTGGGGAGAAAGAAAGTCGTAGGTCTTAGAACTAGATGTGGGTGAAGCTAGACTAGAATTCCATACAGCTTCCAAAAGATTTTCTTTTCTTTACAAGCTGCCATAGATACGTTTGATCACATCAGCCTCTCCTTTATCCAGGATGCCCTTGTCCACGTAAGCGTCGGCTTGTTGGTCTATGAAATCCCGCAGTTTAGAAAGGTCATAATCTGAAACACAGTTAAACCAGGCAGATTATATCAGATTCTCCTGGAGAGACGGCTTCTTATTTCTTTGGTTATTTTAAAATCCACGTTTCCCTCTCTAGAAGGAACATCCAATATTTGGAGGCTCAAAAGCTACAAATCTATTTTAAATGGAATATTGTCCTCTACTGTCCAAAGGATAAGCAAGCTCTGAACAATTACATGCATTTGACATTTAATTTACACCTGCTCCCCATTTAACAACAGAATTCCCATCGTAAGACGTGTTTGTTAAGGGGGACTGTTTTTATGACAGTCATAAAATGAAACTGCAATGGTTAAGGGAATCACAGAGCTGTTAACGTCAACCACACAGTTGTAAAAAAAAACAAAAAACTAATCCATTCTTCCAAATGGACCTTTTTGCCATATTGCATATTATGAATTGGGTCAATACATTTAACGGTGCTGGGCTCATGGATAGGCAAAGCCAATTGCTGATAAATTCTGTAGAAAATTTAAGAGAACCAATATCGCTTCCCATCTATGTCCCTCTATAACCGTGGTGGTGAAACTATGGCATGCGTGCCACAGGTGGACCTCAGAGTCCTCTCTGTGGGAACGCGCACCATCGCCCCAGTCCTAGGCCTTCAGTTGGGTTTTATAAAACCTTTTCGCTTTAGGCCTCTGCCATATGCAAAAAAAAAAGGTTCAATCAATTTCAACTTCTCACGGGAAAAAAAGATCTCGCAAAGTTGGAATTGATTGAACTTTTTAGTCCCACCCAGTCTGCCGTTACCACCGAAGCCATGCCCACCCAAAGGGCCACACCCACCCAATGGGTCACACCCACCCAATGGGCCACGCCCACCCGGCACCCAATGATACATAAGTGGGTTTTGGGTTGCAGTTTGGGCACTCGGTCTTTAAAAGGTTCGCCATCACTGCTCTATATCCTCTCTCTCTCTATATATATATATATCCTCTCTATATATATATGGGTATAGAGCAGGGGTAGGCAACCTCAGCTTTTTTATGACTCATGGACTTCAGTTCCCAGAATTCCTGAGTCAGCTAAGCTCATGGAGTTGAAGTCCATGAGTCATAAAAGAGCCAAGGTTGCCTACCCCTGGTATAGAGGATATATTCTCTATATCCTCTATACCCCTATATATCCATCCATATGTCTTTCCATCTATTCCATCTTCTCAGGACTACACGATCAAGCTTTTTATTTAATGGAATTCCAACAGAATATGTTCTCCGGATTGGTCCTGTCCATACCACAGTTCCTCTTCTCAAACCTTACCATCTTTCTTTCCCTGTGGGTTATGCTTCTTCAGCCACTCTATATTCTTTCGGATGGCTTCCAAATACGCCTCTGCTTTTCCTTCAAAGGTAAGGGGAGAAAAGAGTATTAGTAGTTAAAGTACACGTTTCAGAGGAGAAATCAGGTCTATTGTACAGAGAATAAAAGGCTCTTATTTCTAGGCAATTTCTCAGCCATCCACGATTGTCCCAAAGGGGTTGTTTAAAAGGCAAGTCGATTTTCTGTGTTGATTTCTTTCCCGTTGGATTGTTTTATTGGTTTGTCAAAATATGAAATACAAAGAGAAATTCAAAAAAAGTAATAGACAACTAGAAGAAGGGGGGATGGGAAAGGAAAAAGATAGTGTAAAGAGAGAAAAGAAAAAAAAGGCACCAACTTCCAAATCTTTTTAGCACGGCAGAAGATAACATTACAATCGATTCTTGGTTTTTTTCTTGAAGAGGTTTCACAGTGCTGGGCTGCATTACCAGAGGGATAGAATCAAGATCACGTGAAGTGTTAATACCACTTTACAAGGCCTTGGTAAGGCCACTCTTGGAATACTGCATCCAGTTTTGGCCGCCACAATGTAAAAAAGATGTTGAGGCTCTAGAAAGAGTACAGAGAAGAGCAACAAAGATGATTAGGGGAGGCTAAAACATATAAGGAAAGGCTGCTGGAATTGGATATGTCTAGTTTAATGAAGAGAAGGACGAGGGGGGACATGATAGCAGCGTTCCAGTATCTCAGGGGCTGCCCCAAAGAAGAGGGAGTCAAGCTATTCTCTAAAGCTCCTGAAGGCAGGACAAGAAGCAACGGGTGGAAACTCATCAAGGAGAGAAGCAACCTAGAACTAAGGAGAAACTTCCTGACAGTGAGAACAATTAACCAGTGGAACAACCTGCCTCCAGAAGCAGTGAATGCTCCAACACTGGAAGTTTTTAAGAAGAGACTGGACAGCCATTTGTCCGAAATGGTATAGGGTTCCTGCCTGAGCAGGGGTTGTTGTTGTTGTTGTTGTTATTATTATTATTACTATTATTTCTCACCCAGCAAGCTTTAGGAGTCAAAGGCTACAATTATACTTTGAATGGAATATTGTTGTCCACTTTTCAAAAGGAAAGAAAAGTCTGCATAACAATATGCTATTTAACATTTAATTTACACGGAGTCCTCATTTAACCACCACAGCCAAGCCTGGAATTTCCAGTCAGAACTGAAGAAGCTTCTTGGGTGAGAAGTGAAACGTCTTCAAGAAAAAAACAAAGAAAGTCCAGTTGCCTTTTGAAAAGCACTTTTGGGATAAAGGTTCTCATTTACTCATAAGCCATTTGAAAATGAGAAGAATGGTTTGAGAATAGGAGGACACTCCTTAACCCAAGAATAGTTTTTTCCAATCTTTTCTAGCTATGGCCAATCTAGACAGCATTCTAAAAAGCAGAGACATCACCCTGCCAACAAAAGTACGTATAGTCAAGGCCATGGTTTTCCCAGTTGCAATGCATGGCTGTGAAAGTTGGACCACAAGAAAGGTTGAGCGCCAAAGAATTGAAGCCTTTGAACTATGGTGCTGGAGAAGACTCCTGCGAGTCCCCTGGACTGCAAGACGATCCTAGAGGAGATCAACCCCGACTGCTCTTTGGAAGGCCAGATCCTGAAGTTGAAACTCAAGTACTTTGGCCACCTAATGAGAAGGAAGGACTCACTGGAGAAGAACCTAATGCTGGGAAAGATGGAGGGCAATAGAAGAAGGGGACGACAGAGAAGGAGTCACTGAAGCAGTAGGCGTGAGCTTAAATGGACTCCAGAAGATGGTAGAGGACAGGAAGGCCTGGAGGAACGTTGTCCATGGGGTCGCGATGGATCAGACACGACTTCGCAACTAACAACAACAAGCTAGGAATTCTGAGGATCGTAGTCTGAAGATGCCTCTTGAAGATGTTGAGAAAGGCTCCCATAGAGTTAATAATTGCAGATCAAACCCTGAAGGCTTATAGCAATTTATTGTGTGTAAGGCAGCAGAAGTACGTAGTCCTCTTGAGCTCCCATTGCATACCTCCACTGTATTTCATCTAGAGCCACTCAGGAGAAAATGTTTTTCTGGAAATGACCCTCAGCATTTTGATCGCTCTTATTTATATTTCAAGCAACATCTCACATTACAGCCCGATCAATACGCCTCGCACAGACTTCTGCATTTGGTAACGATTTTATGTTTTGAAAAAGGATACATACAATTAGAGGAATATCTCAGCCAAGAGTGATCTATTGATCTCATTGTGTTTGGACTGCAAAGCTAGCCTCTGGGCTCCAGAGAGAGGACAAAGACCCTGTGGCTTCTAAATGTGATAGATCAGCTCTATGTACCAGGACAGGGGTCTTCAAACTTGGCCCTTTTATGACTTGTGGACTTCAACTCCCAGAATTCCTCAGCCAGGCACGTCCACAAGTCATAAAAGCCCAAGTTTGAAGACCCCTGTCCTAGGACTTCGACACTGTCATATCTTTGAATGGTTGTTACATTGAGAAATACTTCTATTGCAGTTAGTTGGGTCATAATCAAAGTATCGAGAACAGAAATAACAGATGATGCTGTCCAATCAACCCCAGAACCTCTGCCACCTCTGTTGCAATAACCTCTGTTTATGATAAGGTCAGTGGTGGGATTCAGCCGGTTCACACCAGTTCGGCAGAACCGGTAGCTAATTTTTTGTTGCCCAGGCCCAGAATGGACTTCCGGAAGCGGCATCCACACAGAGAACCGGTTGTTCACCTATTTGAATCCCACCACTGGATAAGGCTGACCTTATTTGGCAATCAACCAGACTGTTGACTCTGTTAGATAAAGGTTTGGGAGCAATACCACTGTAACAAGCCCTGGTGGCACAGTGGCTACAGTGCAGTATTGCAGGCGAACTCTGCCCACAGCCGGGAGTTCGATCCTGACCAGCTCAAGGTTGACTTTGCCTTCTGTCCTTCCAAGGTCAGTAAAATGCAGACCCAGATTGTTGGGGTCAATATGCTGACTCTATAAACCGCTTAGAGAGAGGCTGTAAAGCACGGTGAAGCGGTATATAAGTCAAAGTGCTGTTGCCATTGCTATCTTACACACACGTGCAACTACTTACCTTTAGGTTCTTTGTTGCTTCCTACGTTTTCCTCCTCGGCTTTTGTGGAATCTTTCAGGGCTTCGTATTCTTTTTCCATTTCAGCCGTGGCTGTTTTTGTGCTGTCGGCTTCGTCGGTGCTCTTGGCTAGAGGGATCGCAAGCAGAATAACTTTTTCATCATCTGAACCATAGCACATTCCCACATGCACTTGGGTGTCTTAATAGCCCTTGAGGCTGTAATGGTTTGTGGCAAAACTAAATTCATACGAACAGATTACTAAATAGGCTTGCTGTTGTCATTGCGATTTAAATCGATCCAAACAACTGCCAAATTATAATTCAACTAAGTCCACAGGAAAAGTAAGCGGGGAAAAAAAACGATGCAATAACACATTTCCCAAAATTACCTGATAGCTTGTTCTGGGAACTGGATTTTTCAAGTTTCTTTCTTGTCTGTAGGGCTATCATGGCATCTAGATTTTCTGGAAGGCAGGGGGAAAAAAAAAAACAGAAAAATTTGAGCTCCTGTGTAGAATCAAGCCCTTTTGGAGGAGTTTCTTTCTGTTTATGAGCTAGGATGGGACAATTAACTCTCCAATAACTGGCTCCTTAACATTGATGAGGGCAGACAGAGTTAAATCTTCTTTACTCTGGAGTAGTTCTAGAAATTAATTAACAGACTCAATATCATCTAACCCTGTTTCCCAACCTTGTTGAATACAGTATACTGCGCAGTCAGGAATAAAAATCTATATATAGATTGCCAAATAGCTCTGCTGTGGCCATCAAAGACAATTATTTGAAGGAGCAATTCTACATTCATTGTCACATTATCCCAGGCACGCTGGTGCAAACCTCTTCATTTGATTGCCATGTTACTATACAGTCAAGTTACATCCACCAAGGCTAGGGTGTATTAAAATGTATAATCACCAGCCAAGCCGAAACTGGAAACTCCAGTTTATTTATTTTTAACATACACATACTTATTACAAGCCCATAAAAAAAAATCTTACTTTATGGGTGGCATGCCTATTTAATATTCAATAAAAAAATGGATTGGGCTTTTAAATCTCACATTTTAAGAATTTCTTTACTTAGGATTTGGAGAAAATATTATAAAAGTGATTTCAAAGTACCATTATGGGCTATACCTTGGCATGCGATAGAAGCAATAAAAAGAGGGGTTAAAATGGATATGGTGTCTTACAGACAGTTACTTAAATGGGATGGACAAAACTGGCAATTAAAATCACGGGAAGAGTTAGCACAAGAAAACTTTATTTATTCTTGGTTCCAATATAGGCAATTACTAGACAGATGGAAGATGGATTGTAAGGTGGGTTTTCTTAGAGAAGATGAAAATCTTATTAAGCAAGTGAAGGATTCAAGACAAACCCACATTAAGAGAATTTATGCGGTTTTAGTTGAATTGGATTCAGAAACGGAACTAATTAAAGATTGTATGATAAGATGGGCGCAGAATTTTGGTGAGCCAGTCTCATTGGACACCTGGGAAAAAATTTGGGTGAGAAATGTCAAATTTACACAAGCACAGAACTTAAGGGAGAATTTTTATAAAATGTTTTATAGATGGCACCTTGATCCACAAAAAATGTCTTATATGTACCCTGACGTGCAACCCAAATGTTGGAGATGTGGTTATAAGGAGGCTTCCTATTATCATATTTGGTGGTCATGCAGAGAGATAAAAGCATTTTGGATCAAAGTATGGTGGAATATCCAGAGAATTTTTAGAAGGAGGGTAAAATTTACTCCGCAATTATTTTTGTTAGGTATTGTTACAGATTGTGATACAAAGGAGGTTGTATTGATGTTAAATTTGATTACAGCCGCTAGGCTGTTAGTAGGACAATATTGGAAGAAGGAATCCTTGCCTACATTGCAGGAATGGTTTCTTAAAGTAGCTTATCTGGCGGAAATGGCAAAGATCTCGGCTTTCTTAAAGCAACAAACGCAAGAGAAGTTTTTTGCTGTTTGGGATAAATGGATAAAATTTATACAATTTAGATTGGGTATACAAAAATATTATATAGTTTTTTCATAAGTTTTATTTTTATATATGTTATAGATAATCTTTTTATATATATAAATAAATAAAGTTCTTAATTTAATTTTTATTTTTACTTTTTAAGCCTATATTCTGCTCTGGGAAGCTCAGGGGGGGGTTTGGGAGGGGGGGGGTTTGGGAGGGGTGGGGTTTTTTTTTTTTTTATATATATGTATTGTTTAGTTTTATTTTTTTGTATATGTTGTCTCTTGTTTTGTATTCTTTTTTCTTTTTTGTAAAATTTATAAAACTTTTAATAAAAAAAAAAAAAAAATCTTTCCTGAGTCTTGACGCACATGTTTTGCAATGTACGTTCTAGCTTAAATCCCCTAGACGGCTTCTCAAATTGCTGAATATATTCTCTTGGGCTGAATTTTGCCTAAAGAGTTTTTGGCTGCTTTCTTGCATAGACAAACTGAAAAGGGGGGGGGGGGAAGGAACCCAAAAGAAAGGAGAATGCAAGAAACTGGCTGTTTTCAATCAAAATGACGTTAGTAGGTACCCTTTAGCTGCAGCTTGGATATGTTGCATGGCTCAGTATTGGCTTTCAATTACTCTAATGTGGTGAGTCATTAAATGTCACTCACCAGGACAGTAGCTAAGCAACTGGTTCTCCTAGTGGGGCTTTTATAAGATCAGATGTCACTGCTAGGCTGGTTGCCTTGGTAATTTAAAAAAAAAAAAACACTGAATAAGAATGTGAACACATGGACCTTTCACCCGTCCAGTCTATTTTTTTATATACTGTTAATTAAAACAAAGGCCACCAGAGCTATACTGCTGGTAATATCTTCCACAAACTATCTTATAGCTGATAGTGAAGCCAGCTTTCAATCAGTCAATCAGAATAGAGCTGGAAGGGACCTTGGAGGTCTTCTAGTTCAGCCCCCTGCTCAAGCAGGAGACTCTATACCAGACATGTCAAACTCGCGACGTCACGTGACGTCGTGCAACGTATCGGAGCTTTTTCGCTGTTGCCGGCAAAGGGGTGGGTGCAGCTCTGGTATGATGAAACCGGCCTGCGGGCCGGCAGTTTGACACCCCTGCTCTATACCATTTCAGACAAGTGGTTGTCCAATCTCTTCTTTAAAACGTCCAGAGTTGGAGCACCCAAAACTTCTGGAGACAAGGTGTTCCACTGAACAATTGTTCTATCAGGAAATTCCTCCTTAGTTCTAGGTTGCTTCTCTCCACCTCTATATCTATATCTATGTCTGCTATATCTATGTCTATATGTCTATGTTTATGTCTATGTTTATGTCTATATCTGTCTATATCTATGTCTATATCTATATCTGTCTATATCTAGGTCTATATCTGTGTCTATGTCTATATCTATCTCTGTCTATACCTATATCTATGTCTATATCTATATCTGTCTATATCTAGGTCTATATCTGTCTATATCTATGTCTATATCTGTGTCTATGTCTATACCTATCTCTGTCTATACCTATATCTATGGCTATATCTATATCAGTCTATATCAGCGGTTCTCAACCTCAACCATTTGGGGTCGATCGACCATTTTTCGGGGGTCGCCAAAGGTGGCGATCCGCCATTTCCCCCCCTCAGGGGGCGCCGCCGCGTTGCGCATGGGGCGGGCTGCGCATGCGCACTGCGCATGGGGCGGGCTGCGCATGCGCACTGCGCATGGGGCGGGCTGCGCATACGCGCCGCACATGGGGCGGCCCGCGCATGCGCGCCGCACATGGGGCGGCCCGCGCATGCGCACCACGCATGCGTGGCCCCCGCCCCCCCATGCACGCAGCGCCGCGCATGCGCAGAACGTTTGTGTGACGGGGGTCGCCGTCACACAAACGTTGAGAACCACTGGTCTATATCTATGTCTATGTCTATATCTGTCTATATCTGTGTCTATGTTTATATTTGTCTATATCTATGTCTATATCTATGTCTATATCTATGTTTATATTTGTCTATATCTATGTCTATATCTGTGTCTATGTCTATATCTATCTCTGTCTATACCTATATCTATGTCTATATCTATATCTGTCTATATCTAGGTCTATGTCTATATTTGTCTATATCTATACCTATCTATATCTATGTCTATATCTGTCTATATATCTGTTTCCAAAATTCTTCAGTATATATTCCCAATATGTTACTACAATATTTTTGGACAAGTCTGCTCTTCTTTACATAAACATATACCACCCAGCACATTTTCAGCACATACTTGTTCACTTGTCACTGACATTTAGAAACAAAACTAGAGTTTCTGTGGAATTCAGTCATCCACAGAGAGAGAAAATATACCTAATATCCCCCTACCCTATCATAAAGTGTTACATATCCAAGGAGGAAATATTGTAATTCTGATGAAGATAAGATGTCTGTTCTCTTGACTCATCCATCATATACATACTCTGGCAACTCAAGAATATTTACAGAATTATTTATTATTAGTGTTGTATGCCATGTGACGTCTTACAGCAGCATTCGCAATCTCCCAAGAGGAGTATAAACAACTGAACAATCACAAGCAAATAAACATTATATGACACTGAAAGGGAAGATATCAACATCTAAAACCTTTTTCCCACAGCCATTTTTTTTTATTTCTTTACAGAAACTAATTAGAGAGGAGACAATTTTTATATATGAGAACACGTTGTTCCAGAAGAGGGGCAAATTAAAGTACGCTAGCGACCAGACATCAAAGCGTGCATAGATGAATTATTAAAATAATAGATCATCATTATCTAAAACACTAGTGGGAACAGCAACAGACCCGTTTTGATTCAGCTGACCCAAACCAACAACTGATCCCAGAATGTTTTACTACAACTATATTTATTTCTTATAAAAATAAAATGGAAATCCTGCCACCAATAACTCATCTCTTCTTCTTGAAATCCACGTCACTGCCAGCAGGTCAGAAATGATGATGCCGTTAAGTTCTAATCCAACTCCATTCTACTCTGGGTCACTTTGAGATAGGGCTATTCCTTTATTGGGCAAATGGGGTGATATTCAGCCTTAGCAGGTGATGGTAAATGGCTGCCCTTGACTGAGCTTACAACCAAAGACTGGGCCTGATGCATATTTGGTTATCAGACCACCACCATCAAACACTAGGATTCTACCAAGAAGCTGAAAAGCATCTTTGAAGTTGGATAATAGGGAACAGTCATGGCTGGGAGACCATGGAATGATTCCTCCAGCAATTTGACATTGATGTTGAACAGCATGAGGGACGAGGTAGAACTTGATGGGCACATAAGCCAACATTTAGATATTGCACAGTAATCCCCTTTGGCCTTGAGGTTACAGGATATGGCCCTCATTAGGCAGTGGAGAAGGATGGTCAACAGTATCAAAAGCCAATAAGGACTCCAGGAAAACTAATAGGCCTCATTCTTCTCTAGTCAGAATCCTGCAAAGCAACTGAAGTACTTCCAGTATCTTATCTCATCTGAAAGCCTAGTTCTAACCAAGCTTCTAATGTCAGTCAAAAGTCAGCCTATACCGCTTCCATTTTTTTTCTCATTACCCTTTATTTCCTACTCCATCAGACAAGGATGGTGGAAAACCATACATTTGGTTGAGGATCAAGAACACACTGCACCACACTGTAGACCTCTTGTTTACATTTGTTAACAATTCATTAAAAGAAACGTGATATCTATATACCTTGACACTTCTCAGTAAGGCAATACTGGCAGGGCCGGGCAACCTATAGACCAAATAGGACGCTCAACCTGGTATCACAAAGATCTTTCCAAGTGATTAATTCGGAATTAATCCTCGCGCAACAGGGTGAGCTTCCCTTCCTTGCCCCAGCTCCTGCCCACCGACCAGCTTGAAAGCATGCAAATGCGAGTAGATAAATAGGTACCACTTCAGTGGGAAGGTAACAGCATTCCATGAGCCTTTGGCGTATAGCTGGCCACATGACCATGGAAATTGTCTTTGGACAACACTGTCTCCCTTGGCCAAGAAAGGGAGATGAGCACCCTGCCCTAAAGTCAGACACAACTGGACAGGGGGAATCCTTTGATCTTTAATTCAGCACTCTGCAATACTGGACAACCAATTCCATGGACAAAATGAGAGAGATAGGAAATCAGAAGGGAGTGGAGAGACAGGGATGGTGAAAATAGAAGGGGCGACTCCCTTCTTTCGGCTTCGCCCCCTCCTCGCCTTGATTTCAACCTCGCCCGCCAACTGGCATATGGCTCCCCACATTATCCTCAAGGGTACGTAGGAAGGAAGATTTGCTCGCCTTGGCAAAGGAGAGCAAAACATGGGGGAAGATTAGACGCTGAGTAGTGTCTGTTCATGTCCCTCCTCATCAAAACACGTCCAAACTCACTTGAAGGCTCAAGAATGTGACGGCTGAGTCATCTGTGACGGAGGAAGGTGTGAATGTGGAGACTAAGGCTGACAGTGCCACAGCAAATGGCATTCCGCCCATGGATCCACAGCGGAAGAGAGTTAACTCAAGCATTCTTACTGTTTTCATCGCTTACTAATAACCAGCAATTATTACAGCCAGAAATAATTATACCCCCCTGTGCAAAATTGGAAGGAAGCAACTCTGCAAGAAAGAAGTTGTTTTGGACCCAGACGAGGGAATTTCATAATTTCCAGTAATAATTTTCCTACCCTACAATGTGAGGATCAGAAAGAATAATGGAATATTAATGGAAACATTCTTATCCTTTTTACCAAACCTTTCCACCTTTTTCTGCATGCTGGTATTTGTTCCATATACACACCCTGCATGCGAACACACACACACACACACATTTCACAAATATGGTTGCAGAAATCTTTGAAACAATTCAAGCAGTACTTTTTCCCTCCTGCAGCGAAAATAATTGAAACATATGTCACGGGCTGAAATCTCAAGAGGAGCATTGCCCTTGCAACATATTCTGTGAAGTAGTACAAAGAGTACAGATCTCTTTTCTTTCTCCACGTCTTTCTTGCATTCCGCTGCTGAAAAAATAAAAAAACGAGCACACTTGTAGGACAGTGGCTCCTTTATGATATATTTTTTTCATCTGCATCCATGGATGCCTCTATCTGGATCTACATCGAGGGAGCCTTAGAAAAATTACGACTGGATGGAAAGCAACTACCTTAAAATATTTTTTGCTTGCTTTCAGTGCTAGAACTTCCAGCTTAAATTATGGGTGAAAACACAACAATTCTTTTTACTAATCAGGTGATTTTTTTTTCTTTCTTGCATGACAATCTGGTGGATTGAGCAGGATGTGGAAAAGAAGATGTATTTCTCAGCCTGCCCCACCAAACGCAAAAGTGGGAGAGGTTTTCCAAAGACAAAAAGAATGAGGAAGGAATAGTCCTTCCTTTGATCCAATGACTCCAATCCTCATAAACCACCGTGCTGTATGTAGTTGTGGGTACTCCATTACTGGAGGCTTTCAAAAAAGAGATTGGACAACCATTTGTCTGAAATGGTATAGGGCAGTGGTTCTCAACCTTTTTAATGCCGTGACCCCCAACCGGTCGTAAGTCGAGGACTACTCAACCGGTCGTAAGTCGAGGAGTACTCAACTGGTGCAGCACCGTTTGCAGAATGGGACTTTTGGCGGGCTCAGCAGGGGAGAGACAGCCTGGACAATTCCCATTGGCTTTGGAAAGCCAATAGAATTAGACTCTATTCAAGAGAGTCTAATTCTATTGGCTTTCAAAAGCCAATAGAATAAAAGGGAGGAGCACAGCTAAGGAAAAGGGGGAAAAAAATGGCGGACTGCGTTGTTTAGCGACCCCCATGAAATGGTTGTTCGACCCCAAATGGGGTCCTGACCCACAGGTTGAGAACCATTGGTCTAGGGTCTCCTGCTGGAACAGGGGGTTGGACTAGAAGACCTCCAAGGTCCTTTCCAACTCTGCTATTCTGTTTACAAAGTGTTTTTTTTTTAAAAAAAGCACTGTGTCCAATATTACCTACACAGCAAAAATATGCATATGAATGCTTTCAGTGGAAAAAGCACAGACTAAGAAATAAACCATGATTCCAAATGAAAAAAAAATAAATAAAGTGGAATTCAGAATCGGCTGATTCTGACAAATGCCAATTTATCTATCACCTCTTGTGCTCTGGGCTTGAATGCAAAGTCCTTCACTGCTCATCCAGAGTCCTAATAACATCAATTATCAAGTGACAGGTCAGACTTCCCTCTCTCTCTCTTTCCCACTTTGCCAATCCAGCACAAAGAGTGACATCATGCTAGGGGGATTGCAAATCCCTCTCCAGTTTTGCAGAGGTACGCTTTTAAACTTCCTGCCTTCGCAAACCACGTCATGCAAGAAACTAAAAATAAAATAAAATAAAAAATGACTTGGCTAGTAAAACATGTATTACTTTGCATCCATAATTTTAAGATGGAAGCTCCAGCATTTCGAAGCAAACAGGGATATTTTAAGGCAACTGCTCTAAATCTCGCCCCGATTTCATAACGCTCACTGGATGTAGTTCCGAACGAAGACATCCGTGGATTTTGTTGCAAATGGAGAGATTGGAGAGGATTGTTGTTGTTTTTTAACACTATAGAATCCTGAAGCCGGCTGGTAATTCGCACGCCGATAGTTAGTTTGTGTCTTGGTCTCCAAGACAAGTGGACAACTCTCTCAACCAGCATCTCTCAACGCTGCTAACATCGAAGTTCTTTGAAGAGTCTCATCTGTAGGAACCGTGTCATTATCACCTCCTCCCCCCCACCATGAATGGTTATATTAAGCTCATCATTTCATCATTTCTTAAGGCTCCAGAAGACCAGTGTTTTGAAGGTCAAAAACCCTGAGCTTCTTCTCAATGGTGATGCTAAATAAAGTGCAGGAGGGAAACCTTTGAGAAAAAGGCTTTCTGCTCCACTTGGCAGCTTTCACGACAAAATATAATGTTGCCTGTGGAGCGTTTATGACTAGCAGGGTGGAAGTGGACCGCAACACTAATTGTCATTTCCTGGGGCTGGTTCACACTCTGGTGGCCCAGCATGGGGTTGAGTTCCCCTTTGCTGGCTGTGTCTAAGCAGAGATTGAATAGACTTTTTTTTGGGGGGGGGGGGGATGTTAAATGTAGAAAACATAAGTCACCAGAAGCTTTTTCATTGCGTTGATGGATAATTAAGACACACCAATTTGAAAGAGAGTGCCTCCTGTATTAAATTTTTGACTTCATTCTTAAAATTCTTCACCCTGCGGAGGAAAAATTCAGACATTTTCTATTTCCTGTTCTTTCTCGTTATCCCAAATACTTATTTAGGGTATTTGGGATAGAGACTCAAAAATCTTTTGTAATGAAGTGGTTGCTAAGGATATTTTCACCCTCTCAAAGATGTCTAGTCGGTGGAAGAGTTACAAGCTTGTTGAGATATGAGGAAGTGTAGGGTTTCCCCCTCTCTCTACCTCCAAAACACCAGAGCAGCAATGCTCTCAGTCAGGTTGCATCAAAAATGGAAACAACCTTGTAGTATTTGAAAAGCAGTTTGCAATATGGTAGAGGAAAAAAAAAAGAGATTTGGGTGAAGAAAATGTAACCGGTCTGATCTACATCTTTAAATCATAGCCACTATACATTCCTACACAAGAATCATGGGGTAGATAATCAAAACCACCACAGAGGTTGGCCATTTTCCACTTTGGCATTTTGTTAGCTCGTGTAGCCATATGCATGTGCCGAAATGGATAAACTCACTTTAGAACTAAAAGAAAAAGACGATTCGGAATTTTATGCGGTTTGGGAAAAATGGTATACATGGATAGATAATAGAAACAAAAATTGGAAATACAGATAAGGTTATTGTGAGTTAGATATTGAAAGTACATAGTGTATATATTGTATAGAATGTTGATTCGAAGTATGTAAAAATGACACAGTCTGCTGAATATGTATTAGAGTTGTATAAAGGAAAATGGTAATAAAAACTATTTAAAACAAAAAACAAAAACAGTCTTATGTTCTGGTTTCCTAATTCCAATTCATGTCCCTCCATTTGAAGACTTCAGAGACCAAAATTTTGCACTTTGATACATCTTTACGTTACAGTCAGTGCTTTGATATAAACAAGACCTGAGATTTAAAACATCACCTGGTGCAATTCATGAGAGAAACATGGTTTTAAAAAATTAATTCACATGCTCTTACCTAGGTACGAAACGCCTTCTTCCGGTGTGATGGTTCCATATTTAACCATCATCTTGACAAAATCTATTAGAGTTTTCATGATTGTTATCAAGGTTTCCTTTTCTTTCACTTCTTCCTCTGCGTGAAGAGTAAACAGATTCGTGATCTCTTGGAAGTGATGATGGTTTAACTTAAAAAATACTCTTATCTATTGATCGGCACATATTTTTTCTCTCTCTCTCTCTCTTAGCCTGTTTGATTTTTCAGGAGAGGAGACAATTTGCACGGCTGGCTGAATGTGAATTAATGGACCTGCTGAAAAATACTGTATGACTTAATCTGCATAACTAGATTGTGCCCTTTTGCTATTCTGGACCAATACAGATCATGACAGCAGAGGATTATGGCCGCTGATCTATATAAAAATGAGAATGTGATGGCTCAGCTTTTATTTAACTTCTATTCATTTTGATCCTGCCTTTCTTCTCCAACAAGCACTCCAAATTAATGGATGTTTATAGTGCTTTTGTTTATTGCTTCTCTCCCAGAGCCTTGTCATTTAATGATCTGAGCAATAAGTGAAAATCAGGTACTGGATTCATGCATCGCGCTAAGCCTTCACGTTGTTTGCTCCTTCTTGGATTAATGGGCTGTGTGAACATGATTAGCTGCTGCATTTTGTAAATCTAGGTCTGTGCTTTGTGATCCTAAATTATGGCAGATGGCAAATCACAGTTGCGCAAATGGGATGCCAGAACCCAGCTCAGCAAGTAATTTGTGTCAATCTAAGCATTTTGAACAACTGAAACACAAAATGGCCTGCTAAGGGAGTTTTCCTTATGGTTCTTAAGATGCAAATGCGTCCCTCAATATAGGAATCAGAGTACTTACCAGAGTCCATGAGGTGTTAGTGTTTAAACTGATCTGACTTCACAACCGTTTATGTTTATTATGCTCTTGTATTTTTTAAACCTGTAAGCTGCCCAGAGCTGCTATTGGGAAATGGGCAGCTTATAAATCCGAGAAATAACATTTTTAAAAAAGTTAAATAAAACATGGGATGGCTCTGATTTTTGAAATGACTGCCCTATAGGAAACTCACCCGAGTCAAGGCTTTTTAATAGTTCATAGAAATTAGGGAAGTATTGGAGGTCCTCAAAGCGATCCTCTGGGGGCAGTTCATTTCTTCTTTCTAAGATGTTGGTGGGTGCCCATGTATTATCCAAGGTATGATCTGGATCAGTACTTTTTAACACCTTCATAAAAAAAAAAAGTACGTATCTTTGAGCCGTGGTGACGCAGTGGTTAGAATGCAGTACTGCAGGCTACTTCTGCTGACCGCCAGCTGCCAGCGGTTCGGCAGTTTGATCTTGACCAGCTCAAGGTGGACTCAGCCTTCCATCCTTCCGAGGTCGGTAAAATGAGGACCTTGATTGTTGGGGGCAATAAGCTGACTCTGTAAACCGCTTAGAGAGAACTGTAAAGCACTGTGAAGTGGTATATAAATCTAAGTGCTATTGCTCTCTGTCTGTCTGTCTGTCTACCTACCTATCTACCTACCTACCTACTTACCTGCCTTTCCTTCCTTCCTTCCTTCCTTCCTTCCTTCCTTCCTTCCTTCCTAGAACAGTAAAATGAGGACCCTGATTGTTGGGGGCAATATGCTGACTTCATAGAGCTGTAAAGCTCTATGAAGCGGTATATAAGTCTAAGTGCCATTGCTATTGCTATTTGGACATCACAACCAAAATATTTGATACCAAATAATGCACAGCAAGGAATGCTTGAACAGGGAATTAGTCCACTTCTATTCACCAAAAGGCTTAAATAAATTAATACAAAATAGATCTAGCAATAGGGCTGAAAGAAAGTGACTGGCCTAAGGTCACCCAGCTGGCTTTGTGCCTAAGGCGGGACTAGAACTTACAATCTCCCAATTTCTAGCCTGGTGCCTTAGCCACAAACTGGCACTCCACAACCATGATCACTAAATGTAAAAGAACACTTTAAAAGTCTAATTTTTAAGTAGCAAATACTAGAAGTAAACTCCGGGGATTCCATTACTTTTATCCACTGCTAATGAATATTCAAAAGCAACTTGCAGTCATCCTATGGGATAGAATTGGCTGGGGTCATCCTATACATTACACCGTAATATGGGTTGTTCAGTCCACACTGGATCCTATCATGACAAAACTATTTTAGGGTATACAGTGGTGGGTTTCTCAGCGGTGCAAAAGTTCTTTGACTGAGAGGCTGTATTTCCTAAAACAGTGGTGGCGAACCTATGGCACGGGTGCCAGATGCGGCACTCAGAGCCCTGTCTGTGGGCACGCGTGCCGTCGCCCCAGTCCTAGGCCTTCAGCTGGGTTTTATAAAAGCTTTTCGCTTTAGACCTCTGCTGCCATGTGCAAAAAAAAAAAAAAAGGTTCAATCAATCAGTCAATTTCAACTTTTCACGGGGAAAAAAAAGATCTTGCAAAGTTGGAATTGATTGAACTTTTTAGTCCCACCCAGTCTGCCGTTACCACCGCAGCCACTCCCACCCAATGGGTCATGCCCACCCAATTGGCCACACCCAGCCAATGGGCCACACCCAGCCAGCATCCGACGATGCATAAGTGGGTTTTGGGTTGCAGTTTGGGTACTCGGTCTCTAAAAGGTTCGCCATCACCGTCCTAAAAGAAGGACTGACAAGTAGGCATGTCCACTGAACTGTTCCATAAAAGTGGATTGCAATTAAGAAGTATTACCGGTTTTACTTTCTGCTTCTCTTTGGTCTGACTGTCACTCTTGCTTGGGAGATCCTCAAGACCCCTGAATGCCTTTTCCTGGTCTTTGGCTTCATTAGCAATCAGCTGCTGCAGTGCTTCAGCCACTTCATCCTCTAGGGTGTAGGCCTGGCTTTCGGTGATCTGGCGAAAAAGAAGAAACAACGGAGACTTTTTGAGTCTCTCACTGCGCTCTGCATGTCACATATACGTGCTTTTGAGACAGACGGGCCAAAATAAATCACATTTTAACCCAGGTGAATTCCATTGTGGTCTCTGATTTATTTTTATTCTGCTGTGCTATTTTGCAGAATCTAAAAGCTCGACCCGGAAATTTGAAAAGAGAAAGGAAGGGAGGGAAGAAAGAGGTAAAGGCGAATCATTTTTAACCGCACGGTTGTCTCGGTATAAGTCAGTGGTTCTCAACCTGTGGGTCGGGACCCCATTTGGGGTCGAACGACCATTTCACGGGGGTCGCCAAACAAGGCTGTCCGCCATTTTTTTCCCCTTTTCTTTGGCCACGCCCCTGGCACCCGATGATGTATAAGTGGTTGGGGGTCACCACAACATGGGGAACTGTATTATGGGGTCGCGGCATTAGAAAGGTTGAGAACCACTGGTATAAGTGATCTTCAACTCAATGCAATTTTTTTTTTTTAAATGCAGAACTAAACAGAAAGCAAGTTAAGATTCACAGATTCATTGTAACTGATTAAAGCTCCTCTTCGCTTACACATTGATCTTCTTTTTCCACTCTTGGGCAATTCAATGCTTCGGCTCTGCGAGAAAGAACTTAATAGAAAGTACTTCTCACATCCTTCCTATTTTTCCCTACCTTTTGAGTGATAAATGATAAAACCTTTCAAGTAACTGGCAACTTGCATCTCGTGGCCAAACATCTTGTGGCTGAAGTTATTGTTGAAAGCCTGAGCTAAAATGCAAAATAATACCGCTTTATTTAAAAACGAATTCATTCGCTCCAAAATTTTCTTCAAAATAGTCTCAGCACCCCAAACAAGAGGCAGGAAGAAAAATCAAGTAAACAAGTAAATCAAGTAAACAGATGTCCCAAACACTTACCAGGCCCAGATTTAGAAGCTTGGAAACTATCTTGTCAAAGATGCCTCTATCATTTTCCTCATAAATTCTCATGGCAATCTTCTGGACAATATCTTCAGCTGTTAATGGGGTCCCATCAAGTTGATGAAGTCCATCTGGGTCATCTGAAAGAATATCAGGGAGATAAAAAGATGCTTTGGGGACAGCTGTAGGTCAGTGGTAGAATACAAAGCCCCAGGTCCAAGCCTTGGTATCTCCCAGAGAAGGAGACCCGGAAAAAAAATTCTATCCTAAAAATTCTATCTATCTTTGAGGCATATGTCTCATTCTGCTCAATTTACGGTTTTCTCTAATGTTATGGCCCACAATTTGCCTGAATGGCTTTGTGGGGACCATCCTCCAAATGGTAATCATGATGCCATGATAAAAAAAAAAAATCCTTTCCTTTTACATTAAACTGAAATTAAATATAATCAAACTATGATTGTATTTAATAATAGGCACGACTACATTTAATCATCTTTTCCTTCTGTCCCATTAAACTTTGTAATTTGTGAACCACCCCTGGAGGACTGTGGGGCCACACTCAAGGCTTGAAGAACTGCATTGTGCCTAACAGTATAACTGGCCCCGTCTCTAGTCTCAGTAATTATTAAGCCCAAATATTAGGCCAGTTACAGTATATTGAACTTCAGCCTCAGATCAAATCAGATTTTTTTTTTTGATTTTCTGCTATTCTGCTCTGCTGGACATACAACGTGAGTGTGTTGCATGGCTCTGTAGATTATCCCACAGTTTGTCTATGTATATAGCTACCCTCTTTACATATTTACCATATAAACAAAGCTCAGTTAACACTGCGCTTCATAGTTAAGTAATCAAAGTTCATTCAGCGGTACATTCTGTGCTAATCAGCGGTCTCTTCCTGTCTTCCTTTTTTTTTAAAAAAAATGTCTAGTGCTAATTGTGAACCTCATGGAAAATTCACATCATGCATGCAGAAAGAAATTGGTTTACGTAAGGCTGATAAATTAAAAGGCTTCTATTTTTGCATTCCACGTTGTTGTTTTTTTCTAATATGGGGATTACACTGCATTTGGATGGCATCCATGAGAACAGACTGAGATTTGTTATAGACAGAAATGTTCTTCCTGTACCAAAATGTGCTTTATAGTAGAATCAGATGTACCAGCAGCACCAGAGAGCAGATCTCTCCAATCTGATGCTCACCAGAAGTCTTATAACTAGAATTCAAGAAATTGACAACTCGAAGGCACCAGCTTACTTCAAATGAGTCTTCTCCAATGAAGTAAAATGCCTTGTTAGAATAGAATAGGATAAAGCTAGAAGGGACCTTGGAGGTCTTCTAGTCCAGCCCCCTGCTCAAGCAGGAGAACCTATACCATCTCAGACAGGTGACTGTCTAGCCTCTCCAGTAATGGAGCGCTCACGATTTCTGGAGGCAAGCTGTTCCACTGGTTAATTGTCCTCACTGTCACTGTTTATTTTGGGTGTTCATCATCTCAATTTGGGATTCTAAAATTTTGAACTTTCAGTATTTCTGCAAAGTTAAGCTTCTGTAAGCCTCTTCCTCCTCCTCCCCCCCCCCCCAGCACAATATCTACAACCAACTTTGCAACCTATGGACTTCAACTCCCAGAACTGGAGTTAACTCAGGAATTCTGGGAGTTTTACTCCACAGGTCATAAAGTTGCCCTAATTGCCCATGGTTTAAACTGAGTTTCTCAAGTGCTGGTTTTTTTTTTTTTTGGATTGCTGAAGTGGCACCATCTACAGTGTTACTCATAAATGATGCCACTTTGGCGATCCAAAAAAACAGCACTCGAGAAACTCAAGTTATGAATTTGTTTGCATATCACACAAGTATTATGCTATTGGTTAGGTCTGGGCTTGAACTGTTTGTATTTGTAGCCTTTGAAATGTGAAATCACGGTTATGTGTGTCCTAAGGTACTGTGATTTGTTTAACAAGCCACGGTTCAGTGCATTCTGTGCTGTTGCATAATGGCTTGAATTTTATTCTCCTCTTTTTCCTAAATTTCATTCCTTTACCCACGTCAGCAGTACTTGGCCCATGGCCATCTTGGCATTCCCGCTGCTTGTCCGCTAAGATTGATGAGTCTACGTGATGTCGTGCATTCAGAGGAGCTGTTCAACTCATCTGTGTATGTAAGATGAATTCAAAGCATAATCGTGGCCGGGGAAGGCTAATGCAGTACCTTGGTATTTATAATCCACACCACTTTTAGTGGAGTCATACTCATCCACCAGCCTGCGTCTCTTGGTGGAATCTGCATCATCAAGAGCAAGCTGTTGGTTATACAGAGGACTCCTGACCGATTCCATTTCCTTTTCTTTTCTGCCTTTTTCCACAACAGATCTCAGCAGGTTCAAGTCATCCACAAATGAATAATTCCTGAATTCTGGCTTATTTTCTGGAAGATCTGGAATATAGATGGGTGGAGAAACCATCTCATCCTCTGAGCAAGCAGCAGTCTGAATCAGGAATTTAAAAAAGTGTAAGGAATAGTGAGTGAGTCAGGAATTAAGAAAAGATGGCTCACCAGTCCTGGGTGATTTCTTCATCTTGTCTGCCTCTGCTTCAGCAATCTGTTGGGGGAGACAATAAGTGAGGGCTTGAACTGGCTTCTTGTGGCCCATTTCACCATCTGCCCAAGATAAACCGACAGGAGTAAACTGGGCTATAAGGAAGCATCTTGGGGATAGTAGCCATGTGGACCAGCCTTATCAAGTGGCCTTCCGTTCAATAAGTAGTCCTTGACTTAAAAGCATTCCTTTAGTGACCATTTGAAGTTACAACAGTGCTGAAAAACGTAACTTATGGTCGTTTTTCACAATTACAACTCTTGCAACATCCCCATGGTCGTGTGATCGAAATTTGGACGCTTGGCAACTGACTCGTACTTATGACGGTTTCACTGTCCTTTTGCGACCTTATGACAAGCAAAGTTAATGCAGAAGCCAGATTCACTTCACAACTGTGTTAATAACAACTGCAGTGATTCACTTTGCAACTGTAGCAAGAAAGGTCGTAAAATGGGGCAAAACTCACTTAACAGCTGTCTCGCTAGAAATTTTGGGCTATGTTGTGGTCGTAAGTTGAGGACTACCTGTATATTCTGGCTAGTGCCCACCATGGCAACCATTTTGTAGATGCACATGCTCTTTCCCCAAGGCAGCCCTTTCTGAAAGTGATTGTGTTGTTCTTAAAATTTCAAATGTACGCCTAACCCAGGGGCAGGCAACCTTGGCTCTTTTATGACTCGTGGACTTCAACTCCCAGAATTCCTGAGCCAGCTCAATGGGGAACTCATCAAATTTGCGGATGACACCAAGCTGGAAGGAATAGCCAACACCCCAGAAGTTACAGGCTTAAGATACAGGAGGACCTGGAAAAGACTTGAACACTGGGCGCTATCTAACAAAATGAAATTCAGTGGTGGAAAAAGCAAGGTTCTACATTTAGGCAAGAAAAACCAAATGCACAGGTATAGTATGGGGGTACCTTGCTCAATAGTAGTAACTGTGCAAGAGATCTTGGAGTCCTAGTGGACAATCACTTAAATAGGAGCCAGCCGTGTGCTGCAGCTGCCAAAAAAGCCAACACAGTGCTGGGCTGCATTAACAGAGGGACAGAATCAAGATCACGTGAAGTATTAATACCACTTTACAAGGCCTTGGTAAGGCCATACTTGGAATACTGCATCCAGTTTTAGTCACCACAATATAAAAAAGATGTTGAGACTCTAGAAAGTGCAGAGAAGAGCAACAAAGATGATTAGGGGACTGGAGGCTAAAACATATAAGGAACGGCTGCTGGAATTGGATATGTCTAGTTTAACGAAGAGAAGGACGAGGGGGGACATGATAGCAGTATTCCAATATCTCAGGGGCTGCCCCAAAGAGGGAGTCAAGCTATTTTCCAAAGCACCTGAAGGCAGGACAAGAAGCAAAGGATGGAAACTAACTAAAAAGAGAAGCAACCTAGAACTAAGGAGAAACTTCCTGACAGAACAATTAACCAGTGGAACAACCTGCCTCCAGAAGCAGTGAATGCTCCAACACTGGAAGTTTTGAAGAAGTGACTGGACAGCCATTTGTCCGAAATGGTGTAGGGTTTCCTGCCTGAGCAGGGGGTTGGACTAGAAGATCTCCAAGGTCCCTTCCAACTGTATTATTATTATTATTATTAATTCTGGGAGTTGAAGTCCACGAGTCATAAAAGAGCCAAGATTGCCTACCCCTGGCCTAGCCCCAAACATTGCATACTTGTGATTAATATTTGTTAATACCAACTCATTTGAGTTTCTTTTTTTCCAGCTATTCCTACAGATGCTCGGAATGGACTTTGGGTAGCTAGTTATGAATTCTAGGATAGTCCCAACATAGCTGGGCGTGAAAATAACAGTCCTAATCAATAGACTGCAATGTTGATCCAGTATTGGATTTTTGTATAATGACAGTATTGTCAAGAGAGATTGGATCAATGTTTATGCAGTTCACTTGGATCAAAGGTACGCCGTTACTGTCTGAAGCCACATGCCGTGTCCCAAAATTGTAAGGCATTTCTCAGTTTTCACTAATTTACAATTAAGGTGATAGAAGAGAAACATATCAACCTCTTGGAGATTAACGAGGCCTCCCACATGTTACCAAAAGACCAAGTTTAGATTTCAGTCTGAAGGAAATAAAGTGTCCATGACTTAGATCAGGGGTCTCCAACCCCAGGTTCGTGGACCAGTACTGAGCTGTGGCATAGCCAGCAACTGGTCCACACAAACAAGTGAAGCCCCATCAGCAGGATGCAGGCAACACACAAAACCACACACCCTCCAGTCCATGGAAAAACCTCTCTCCACGGAACCGGTTCTTGGTGCCCAAAGGTTTGGGGACCTCTGACTTAGGTGATCACTTGCAGCTTAGCTATGGTTGGCCTTGGTTTTGGAACTTTGATAAATGGCAGATAAGGATGGAGAATGTCCAGTGGTGGCTTCTAACTTCTGGAGCAGCCTTTGTGGCAGAGGTCTTCAACCTTGGCAACTTTAAGACCTGTGGACTTCAACTCCCAAAATTCCTCAGCCAGCTGTGCTGCTGAGGAATTCTGGGAGTTGAAGTGCCCAAGTCTTAAAGTTGCCAAGACTGGAGACCTCTGCTTTATGGAATATTATTTAACCTCTAAACCTTTCTCAAAAAGTGGTGATCAGCCAATGCAGAAATATACTTTGCCTGTATGAGGTCCTAGTCTCACCCTTGCTATCATTAATTAAAACGAGCAGATGGCAGCTATCTTGTATTACTTGCATTAGCTTGCCTTAGTATAAAGCATCATGTCCCCTACATCTCTACTTAAGCAGTAGGGGGAAAAATAATTATATTCCCTTTGATGTTTGCCTTTATGTTCTTTAATGCTTTGTGGGTTTTACTTCTGATGTATTTTTCCCTGTTTCTCTTTAAGTTATTGGATAGTTAATTGCTGCTGGATTCCAAAATGTACAACTCTTATTTATCTCCTTCTTTTAGTAAGGTGTCTGGTAGCCAATTTGTGGAAATATAGTAAAATAAAGCCAAATAAGCCCTCCCTCTCCCCAAAGACAGTCAAGAGAGCATTCTGCCCTAGCAAGAAAAGTAATCAGGCATTTTGAACATGCCCATTGATGCTTTTATTGATTTCATAAATGGGAGAGGATGAGCAGTAGCTCAGGAAGGGAGGAAATGCTTTTTAAGCAAAGGAGATGAAGTTCAGCATTTGGTATCTCAAGTAGGGCAGGAGAAATATCAATTTAAAACCTGAGGTTTGCCAATGTTTAACACTGGAAAAAAATGGATCCCAGGTCTGATTCAGTCCCACGCTCTTCTTCCTTCCTATAAAGTGATCATTATAGAAAAACCACTGTGAGGTAGAATTCTCAAAACTTTGTAGGACTCATTCCAAAAAAACCAACAACACAAAACCCCAAAAACGTTCTGAAGCTTTGGCTAATCATCAAAACATTTTAGGATTCCAGAACATTTTGAAAACGGACCATTATTCTTTTGTGCGCTTTTGGTGTGTGAACATCTACGTCATCAGATGCGTGAGTCTGATTTTCTTGCCAGTGGTGAATTAGTCACTTGTCTGCTAAAAGCCCATGCTGTAACAGGGATGCAGTTGCACATAAGCTCCTGAACAAACTATTGTATACATTGACTTTTGCAGGGCTGATGTGTTAGCAAATATTTAGTCGGAATGGTTATGTGGCACAGGATTTTTGGTTGGTTGGTTTTTTTTATTAGTACTACGAAATTAATTTTTTCAGATCACTGGGATTCTCCTAGCAGTTGAGAGGCTTAGGTTCTGCTGATTTTTATATTACTGAAATATATTTGTGTAGAAACTTGCTTTACCTACCTGTTCTTCCAGTGGTCTCTCTACACTTAGTTCTCTGTTGTATATTGTTTTATCTGGAATAGAGACATACATATTTAGACAGCTGTGGTACAATCAGGGTGTCACGCTTTCTCTCTTGCACATATCTATGTATATAATAATAAAATATATTATTAAAGTCCATCCCAACCTCTTTCCCGAATACTCCACTTGTTTAAAAATGCTGAAACAAGTCCCAGAGGAATCTTGTCAGGGGAAAACCAAACAAAACATGGATTTATTTTTGTTTTTAATTAATGGAATTAGCACTGGATATTCCTTCAGATGAAGGCATCACTGTTATTTATCATCATAAATCAACTAATGCACACAATTTAAAAAAGAATCTCATAAGAACTGGACTAAAATAGCAGTAATGTAATCAGCTTGGAATAATCAAGAGATTAAAAGATTGTATGACATTAAGAGAAACCTGTAACAAAGGGAGACTGCGAAAATGTTTCCTTGCAAATCAGAGGCCCAGCATGAAAAAAAAACCTAAAATAAAAGAAATTCAAACTTTTTCTCCAATTTTTTTGGAATCCCCCTCTTTTTTCTTGTCTATTTAACTTGGCACACACATCAGCTTTTATCTAGGGGCTGTGTTCCAAATCTGTATACGTAGGTTTTGGAACCAATTTGAACCAACATTGTATAATTTTTGTTCTTTAAAAATTGTTCAGCATCTCAGAACCTCTCCTTGAGTTATTTCTTTCGCGTTGCAAGGCAAGGGGTGATAAGAATACATTACAACTACTGAAAGATGAAGAAGTTTAAAACGAGACCAACCCATTCATAAGGATGGTTTGCTTACCTTCTCTTGCACCTTCCGGCTTTGGGAAGCCAAACATTTGGCCTACGATCAAGGACAACACCGTTAACAGGCTGAGAAGCATCTTTCTGCCCATGGTTTAGGAGAAAACCCCGCTGTGGGGCTCCAGGGAAAAGCAGGATCTAGTGCAGATCAAAGGGGCACCCAACAAGGATGCTTCGCCTCTTTCTTTTGTGTGATGACGTCGGTCTCTGGGTGGATTCAGCCAGTAGCTCAAAGTACCAGTTCAATGAATCTGGAGCTGTCCAGAGCTGCTGGTGCTGAAATACCCAGAGTCCCAGCTGCTCCTGGATAAAGCCAGCTACTGGGAGGATGCTGGAGAGATTCCCAGTGACAGATCAGCCTCCTCCCTTTCCCCTCCTTTCCCCATCAGTAGATGAGCTAGTTCCTTTCCTTCTGGGCAAATCCTAGCAGGGGTGGAGGAGAGAAGAGGGGAGGAGATCAGGGATGAGAAAGAGATGGGGGGGGGCTGCGGATGCTGGAGCATGCGTGCAGTGCATCCGTTCTCTTTCCAGCCCAGCCTCACTTGCTGGAAAGAACTACGGGAAAGCATTAAAGCCCAGTATGGAAACATTCTTTGTTTCCAAGTGTGTTCTGCCCACACACACACAAAAAATCTTGCTTCTAGACAGATGCACTTGCCCACTTTGTTCTGAAAGAGAAGGGGGGGGCACATCATTGGCTGGACCCACACGTCACTGACCCTCGCTTGAAGGGAAGTCCAGGGTAAGCTGACATGTATGATAAATGGCACTTTTATATACATGCATGCACACAGAAATGCTTCGATCCAAAATTACATATAGGTTTAGTCAGGAAAGGCAATCTATTCATGCTAAGAATTTGCCTCGTGGAATTTCACAGAGGCCCAGAGCTAACTCAAAAGTCTCGTCCTTGGTCTCCAGGTAGTTCTCAATTTAAGACCACAACTGGGACCCAAATTACTGTTGCTAAGAGAGACAGTTGTTAAGTGAATTTTGCCCCATTTTACAACCTTTCTTGACACAGTTGTGAAAGTGGATCACTGTAGTTGTTAAGTTAGTAACATGTTTGCTAAGTGAATCCAGCTCCCCACTTGACTTTGCTTGTCAAAAGGTTGCAAAAAGCAATCACAGACCCCCGAACATGTAATACTAATAATACTAATATACTACTACTACTCCTCCTAATAATAATAATAATAAAGTTGGAAGGGACCTTGGAGGTCTTCTAGTCCAACCCCCTGCTCAGGCAGACAAGCACCTGCAACATAACACCCCGGACTTAACAATTGTCGATAAGAAAGACAAAAAAATCTGGATAGTGGATGTGGAAGTGCCTGGAGACAGGAGAATAGACGAGAAAGAACTGGAGAAGTTAACAAAATACGAAGACCTACAAATAGAACTAGAAAGACTGTGGCAAAAGCAAGCAAGGGTAGTACCAACAGTAATAGGTGCCTTGGGTGCAATCCCAAAACAACTGGAGCACCACTTGAACATCATTGGCATTGACGAATTCGCCATTAGTCAATTGCAAAAGGCGGCCTTATTAGAAATTGCTTCCATCCTGCGATGATATCTGTAATATACCATCAAACATCCACATCTGCCTATCCCAGGTCCTGGGTAAGGACTCGATAGGTAGACAAAATGCCAAATCCAGTCTGAACATCTGGCTGACTGTGCGATGATCCATAATAAAGTTGGAAGGGACCTTGGAGGTCTTCTAATCCAACCCCCTGCTCAGGCAGGAAACCCTATACCATTTTAGACATAACAGACTGGGCAGCCATTTCTGTAACTTCTGTAACTTCAAACAGTCACTAAATGAATTGTTATAAATCGAGGACTATCTGTATTATCAGTTTCCATGTTTTTCTGACCTTTCACATATGCTGTCAATGCCAAATGTAAGGGATCCCCACTCTAGAGGAGGGGTACCCAACACCCGGTCCATGGACCAGCATCCGGACACAGCATGCCAGCAACCGGGCCACACAAACAAGCAAAGCCCCATCCATGGGATGCATGCAGCACATTAAAACCACACTCTCTCTGGTCCGCGGAAAAATCTTTCTCCACAGAACCAGTCCCTGGTGCCCAAAAGGTTGGGAGTCTCTGCTCCACTGGGCCAACTTCAAGAGAGGCACACAAAATAATTGTAGGCAAAACCCTATTGAGTGGATACCCCAGAAACTACTTTATGGGTAGAAACTTGGTGTTCTTATGGTATCTTGTCAGTGAAACCCTTGATCTATCTGCTCTTTGGCTTTAGTCATTTCTTGAAAAGTACTGAATAATTGGTGTTGGGAAATGTTGTGGAAAATAACACAAAACCAAAACTCTTATTTCAAAGGCGGAGAGAATGGAGGGCCCAGAAAGGTTAGGAGAAAATTAAATCACACACCTACAGATCAAGGATATTCTGGAATACATCAGCTAACGTTTGTTTATTTTAAGGCACTGGAAGGAAAGAATGGCCAGATGGTAGCGGAAAGAGCATCAAACGCACACACCGTAATGCTGAATCACAGTAATGGAAACTTCTGCACTTAAGCTTCTATTACAGTGTTGGGCAAACAGGTTTTTCTGGGCAAAGACAGGCATAATTTAAAGCCAAGAGTAATGTTGACTTGTCCTATGCCTTATGCTCATTACATTATGATCAGAATAGTCCTGCGTGAAAGAGGTAGACGCCTGTGACGTCAGCCCCACTTGGTACGTCAGACTAGGAAATGAGAAAAAGAGCCAGTTTAGTCTAGTGGTTAAGATGCTGGTCTAGAAACGAGGAGATGGTGAGTTCTAGTCCCGCCTTAGGCATGAAAGCCTAGTGGATGTCTTTGAACCAATCATCAGGAGACAGTGAGTTCTAGTTCTGTCTTGGGAGTGAAAGCCAGCTGGGTGACTTTGGGCCAGTCCCTCTCTCTCAATCAAACCCACCTCACAGTAATGTTGTGGTGGGGAAAAGAGAAGGAACCAGTATTAGGTATGTTTGTCACCTTGATTTATAAATGTAATAAATGTGGGATAAAAATGTAATAAATAATACATCCACAGGAAGCCTAAAGCTACTTTCAAAAGTTAAGTGTAGGAACAGGAGAGGATCTATGTGCACAGTTGTGATTTTGCTATGCTTCCTCCCAATAGTTCAGTGACTTAGGAGGTGACAGTAATAGACTTCAACCATGGATAAATTGGTGAAGGAGCTGTGGTTAAAATCCAGCTCAATAAATTTGACCTTCTAGCTCAGTGGTTCTCAACCTGTGGGTCAGGACCCCATTTGGGGTCGAACGACCATTTCACGGGGGTCACAAAACAACGCAGTCTGCCATTTCCCCCCCCCCTTTTCCTTAGTGTGCTACTCCCTTTTATTCTGTTGGCTTTTGAAAGCCAATAGAATAGACTCTCTTGAATAGAGTCTAATTCTATTGGCTTTCAAAAGCCAATAGGAATTGTCTCTGCCCTGCTGAGCCCGCCAAAAGTCCCATTCTGCAAACAGTGCTGCACCAGTTGAGTAGTCCTCGACTTACGACCGGTTGAGTAGTCCTCGACTTACAACCGGTTGGGGGTCGCGGCATTAAAAAGGTTGAGAACCACTGTTCTAGCTAAAGATTAAAGTCCTAAATAAGAGGCTTCTGTAGAAACTTAGAACTCTGTATTTAGATCAAGTCTGTCCAAACTTGGCAACTTTAAGATCTGTGGATTTCAACTCCCAGACTTCCCCAGCCAGCATGAAAAATTCTGGGAGTTGACGTGCACAAGTCTTAAAGTTACCAAAGTCTGGACATCCCTGATTTAGACTATCTTGTAAAAGGAAACAGATTATCTCCCACTTTTATGAAATGAGTATTTTTTTGTGTTTGCATGATTAAGGATGTTCCAAAAGCTTTGAACTCTCCAAAGTTATTTTGGAAAGCTGTCTTTTGGTGCCATCTTCAGGCTTCTTTTTTATCGTATATTTTTATTAAAAGTTTTTTTTTCTTAATATGAAATACAAAAAAGACAATGGAAAAAAGGGAAAGCAGATAGAGGGGAATAAAAAAGAAACAGAAAACAGTGACTTGCAACCTTTTAAAGTGAAGTAAGATACATAATGATGTTACAGTATCAACTTTTTAGTTATACCAAATAGTAAACTACTAACCATTTCTATAACAATAACTATCATCAGGCTTCTCAGCGTTTCTTGACCAGAAAATCTAATAAAGTGTCTCTACTTCACACCACCTTCCAATTGTCAAATACTTACTACGGTAGTCGTGTACAAGACGATGCTTTAAATAAATGAATAAAGATGGATTGTAACTGAGGCCCTGGGCCTGAAGAGTGCCCTTCCCCTGGCTGGGGATGATTGTTTGGGTAGTGGCATGTATTTGATTTTTTGATAAGAGTATATCTTCTGCACTTTTATTGTAAGGTGCCTAGAATCAAGTAAAACTGAGACAGGCACCTATGGATGGATAGATAGATGGAAGGAAGGAAGGAGAAAGAAAGAGTGAGAGGAAGGAAGGAGGGAGGGAGGAAAGAAAGACAGTGGGAGGGAGAAGAAAGAAAGAAAGAAAGAAAGAAAGAAAGAAAAGAAAAAGAGAGTGGTAAGGAAGGAAGGAAGGATGCTAGGGAGGGGAGGGGAGGAAGGAAGAGGCTCTTAGCGGGCAACTGGAGAAGGACGATGGGACTTGTAGTTCCCTAGACCCCTGCCCCTCTCCTCCCTTCCGGGCTTCAGAGGCCCCCGGCGGGCCGCGTCTCCTAAGGCGCTTCCCCCGGGGACGGCCGAACGCCGCGGGACTACCCGTCCCATGCGCCTCGGCGGGAGAGAGCGATGGGAGGCGGGACGCGCCGGGCCAGGCCTCGCCCGCCCGGAAATGAGCGCTGAGGCGGCGGCCGGGGGACGAGGCCGGCGTCGGGCCTGCTCTTCCGGGATGCGGCGGAGGCGGCCGAGGCGGCGGTCCGGGCATGAGCGACGTGGTGGAGCGGACGCTGAGCGCCTTGCCCGGCTGGCTGGGGCAGCAGCGCGAACCCGCGGCGGCGCTGGGCGGCGGCGGCGGCGGAGGAGGCCCGGCGCGGCCCGGCCGGAGCGCCGCCACCTCGCGCCTGGGCGGCCTAATCCGCAGCATCACCGCGCTCGCCTCCAAGCATGTAAGGCCGCGCGCGGGGCGGGCAGGCAGGCAGGCTTCGGGGCGCCCGGGAGCGCCCGGTAGGGGAAGGAGGGGGGGGCACGTGCGCGCGCTCGCACTCCATCAGGAAGCCCGGGAGGGAGCGGTGCGCGTGCTCGTGCGCGCTCGCCCGTGGTGGTGGGGGGGCAGAAGTGTCCGCGCGCACAGGCTGCTTCTCCCTCCCTCCCCTTTCTTTCTTTCTCTCTCTCCCTCTTTTCTTTCCCTCCCTCTTTCTTTCTCTCCCCCTCTCCCTCCCTCCCTCCCTCTTTTCTTTCCCTCCCTCCCTCCCTTTCTTTCTCTCTCTCCCCCTCTCCCTCCCTCCCTCTTTCTTTCTCTCCCCCTCTCCCTCCCTCCCTCCCTCTTTTCTTTCCCTCCCTCCCTCCCTTTCTTTCTCTCTCTCCCCCTCTCCCTCCCTCCCTCTTTCTTTCTCTCCCCCTCTCCCTCCCTCCCTCTTTTCTTTCCCTCCCCTCTTTTCTTTCTCTCCCTCCCTCTTTTCTTTCTCTCTCTCCCTCCCCTTCTCTCTCTCTCTCTCTCTCTCCCTCTTCCTCCCTCCCTCCCTTCCTTTTCTTTCTTTCTCTCCTTCCCTCCCTCTTTTCTTTCTCTCTCTCTCCCTCCCTCTTTTATTTCCCTCCATCTTTTATTTCTCTCTCTATCCCTCCCTCCCTATTTTTTCTCTCTCTTCCTCCCTCCCTCTTTTCTTTCTCTCTCTCTCTCTCTCTCTCTCTCTCCCTCCCTCTCTGCCCCCCTCCTCTCCTTTTGCAAGGCGTTCCCCAGGCTCAGTGGCGTGCCCAAGAGTTACCTGGGCGTGTGCAGAGTTCCTCTTTCTGCTTCCTCTATAGCCAGGGGAGCCATGCCTTACTGTGTGGAGTACTTGTATCTGCTCCCCCTCCCCTTGTTTTCCCCGTTTTCCCTTCCCCGCCCTGAGTGAAAGAAGGAGGTTATTGTCTTCTTTTCTAACTGCTTTTTAAGACCTCAGAATGTGCAAAGTGAAAATAAGGTAAGAATCGCGAAATGCAAAGTGCTGTTACAGTCTTTAGCTCACTTTCAGGGGTTCTTTTTTTTAAGCAATGTTTTCAATTTTATACACTGCTAGGAAGAAGAAAAACTTATCCACCAGGAATTAAATAATTTAAAAGCCACTGTTGCCGCACCAACTACAACTCTGGTAGGTCTTAAAGACAAAATAAAATATAATTGCTATTGTTCTCTCTACACGCCAATGCCGATAGTTGTAAAGCTGCTGTAAGCTTTACAGTTACTCGATCAGATTCCTTATTTTTTTTCCCATTTCATGTGTTTACCCTTTAGATTCTTTTATATCCCCACTCTCCTTAGGCTGGTCTATGACTTGACTGAGGTGAGATATAAATTAACTAATAGAGACAGCAATGCCAGATTGTTTTTAAAGACGTTTTATTTTCTGCTCTTCAGAAATTGATGAAGGAATGTATGGTGAGGATGATCTACTGTGAGATGCTGGGCTATGAAGCCTCTTTTGGATACATCCATGCCATTAAGCTCGCACAGCAAGGCAATCTTTTTGAGAAAAGAGTTGGTAGGTTTTTTCATTAATTATGTGTTTCTTCATCTTCAAGTCCATAAATCATGACGCCTTTGTATTATTTATATGGGTAAAACAGGCTTTTGGCCTGGTATCTCCCAAACCTTTATAGCAGGGGTGTCAAACTCAATTTCATTGAGGGCCGCATCAGTATTGCGGTTGCCCTGGGGGGGGACGGGGGTCTGTGGCCAGGGTGTGTGTGGCCTACTGGGTGTGTGTGGCTGGAGTGGATGTGGCCTACTGGATGGGCATGGCCAGCTCTACATCGTTCACATCAAGGGAGCCTGTGGGGGCCTGGGCAGGAGTGGGACAGATCTGGGGGTCTCTGGCCGAAGGGGGTGGGACCGGGGCAAGCGTCAAGGCACGGTCCATTTCTCATTCCTCACAAAGGGTGACACCTCCCCAGCATGCACCCAGGGGGTGGGGGTGACACAGCAGGGTCTGGTTCCTCGCTGTTTCTAGACGGCCTTGTGGAGCTAAGACTGAATGCGTTTCAGCATAGATGGCCACCACAAAATTGTACATTGGCTCCCGGCCAGCCTGGGCCAGGGCCAAGGCAGTGGAGGCCGTTTCCTCACTGTTTCCAGAATGGCTTCGCGGGCCACATGAAACCACTTCACGGGCTGCATCCGGCCCCCAGGCCTTGTGTTTGACATGTCTGTTTTACAGTATTCAGCCTGTGAGCTTCTTGGAGAGATGTATGTCATTCTTGCTATAAATTGATCTGAACTTGTCGAATATAGAGAGGTGGAAACTATTTGATGCCTTAATGCAGAATATTTCTCCCCCCCCCTTTTTTTAGGTTATTTGGCAATTTCTTTATTTCTGCATGAAAACCATGAGTTGCTGGTTCTGCTGGTGAATACAGTGGTGAAGGTATGGTTTTACAAAGTATGCTTTAAACCGTAATTTCTTGAGCTGACTTGATCAACCAGGCTTAAGGGAAAGCAGAATGCTTGCTAAATGTTTTCCTGTGGAGGAGAAAGAAGGAATATTGTAAGATCTGCTGGAGTTCCTTTCTGCCTAACTACAAGTTAATGATTTGTGTGGATCATAGCAACAAGAGCTTGTCAACAGACACGTATGCACTCACAAATTGTGCTCAATACCTTTAAAGTCTGCCCTTTCATTGGTAGTGGGATCTACTGAAGGCCAATCTTTTTTTTTTTTTTACTTACAAGAAAGCAACAGCGGTTATGGTTTGAATGTAAACTTTCTTTGATCACTGCACTGTTTTCTTGCAAACATTGCAAGTTAATTTAGATTGTTTCTCAAGTTTCATCCTTCCAAGTCAGTAACCCATATAAACTGGCTGCACAGTTATCATAACAAGATAATGTCTGTTTATCTGCCTGCTTAATGTCTGGTGATTGACATTTATCCAGCCAGTGAAAGTGTGGAGGGGTTTAATGCAGGGGTCTTCGAACTTGGCCCTTTTATGACTTGTGGACTTCAACTCCCAGAATACGTGCCTGGCTGAGGAACTTTGGGAGTTGAAGTCCGCAAGTCATAAAAGAGCCAAGTTTGAAGACCCCTAGTTTAGTGGATGAGTGAGTGTTGCGCAATGTTATTAATGTTGGGAGATATGAAAATGGAGGACATGAGATGGGGTGGTGGGTTGGTCAGCAAGTCACCTGGAGGAGAGAAGTGAAAAGATGTAGAGGTGGGGGCCAGGCAGAGATCGTGTGCAGAAAACTGCCCTTCCAATGCCTGGGTGTCTCTTCTCTACATTTATCTCATTCTTTCACATCACCATGGCGATGTGAAACTGCAGGCTTGTGCAATGACCTTGCCTGCCTGATATCAGCTAGCTCACACCAACAAGATGTTATTGCCAAACTGCTCCCTGTTTTTGGCTTCTATATTCTTAAGGATTGGTAAGGACTTTAACCAATGAAATGCTATTGCCATGTAAAACTTTTGCTGTTTGTACTACTGTATATAAAGAATAGAATGCTGCGTACGAGCAGCCATATTTGCACCCTGCAATGACTGAGCACTGATTACTACAAAAAGAAGATTTCCCCCAAATACTGGTGGCTCCCAGATAGCAAGAAAGTCCTCAAATGGGGCAAAACTCACTTAACTCCTCTCTCACCTAGGTACAGAAATGTTGGGCTCGGTGGTGACTGTAAGTTGAGGACTGTCTGTAGTCAACCCATTTAACAAAATCCTTCTCTTCTTCATGGCAGGATTTGCAGAGCACGAATCTCATGGAGGTGTGCATGGCCCTCACAGCGGCCAGCCAGCTTTTCCCGCAAGAAATGATTCCCGCTGTCCTTCCGCTCGTAGAAGACAAACTCCAGCATTCTAAGTACGTGCTAGGCCAGTGGTGGTGAAACCTATGGCACGGGTGCCAGAGGCGGCACTCAGAGCCCTCTCTGTGGGCACGCACGCTGTCGCCCCAGTCCTAGGCCTTCAGCTGGGTTTTATAAAACCTTTTCGCTTTAGGCCTCCGCCGCCGTGTACACACACACAAAAAGGTTCAGTTAATCAATTTCAACTTCTCACAGGAAAAAAAGATCTTGCGAAGTTGGAATTGATTGGTTGAACTTTTTAGTAACTTTTAATTACCACCACAGCCATGCCCACCCAATGGGCCACGCCCACCCAATGGGCCACACCCACCTGGCACCCGACGATGTATAAGTGGGTTTTGGGTTGCAGTTTGGGCACTCAGTCTCTAAAAGGTTCACCATCACTGTGCTAGGCCTTGGCTCCATTTGTTGAGAAAGATCTAGTTGATAAGAGATCAAGTGTATTGCGATAGTGCAAAGCCAGAACTGAAAATTGTATGCCCAAATCCCTAAGTTCTACTCTTCCCTTCCATAACTATTTTTCATTGCTCCCCCCCCCCAGTGTAACAAATCCAGTTCCAGTAATATGTTTGTTGTGGTTCCGGCTAATGAAACATTCCAAAGAACTTCCAGGCATTTATTTTCCTAAACGTCTTTTATTGTTACAAAATGTCGGCACAGGCACAATGGAGGGATGCTAGGATCTAAGTTCTCTTCCTCTGAGCAGTTAAATTATCAGCATGTTCCCTCCCTAAATTAGCATCATATCTCACATTATCCAATTAGTGTGAAGGTCAAATGTTTTCTTCCTCTTTCTTTCCCAGGCTTTACCACCAACCCCCCTTCTGCTCTGTATTAACCCCATAATTACCAGACAATTCTACATATTGTCAAAAGCAAGAATATACAATATTTGCAGTGTTGACAATGTTTTCCTAACGGTCAGTTCAAGCGCAATTTAGCCCCCTTCTTCTTCCAGCTGGGTGACCTTGAGGCAGTGTCTTGAGGAGATGCAGCATTTACTTCCGTTTCCCAACCTTCCTCCTTTCATTCCCCCTCCCCCCCAGTTCATGACAGTCTGTTACCGCAGCGAAGCACAAGCAAGCATAGAATGGTAGCTAACTGTATGGATGCAGCTTGTGAGATCAGGCTTCTGTAAACACAGAGATCAGGGTCAAGCTGGAGGTAAGAGCTGAGCTCAACTCGATCTGATTTCTTTTTTAGGGAAATTATTCGGAGAAAAGCCGTCCAGGCCCTGTACAAGTTCTACTTAATTGCACCCAATCAAGTCCAGCACATTCACGACAAATTCCGGAGGGCGCTTTGTGATAGAGATGTGGGTGTCATGGCCGCATCTTTGCACATCTACCTGCAGATGATGAAGGTGGGATCCTTAAGCTTCCTTAGGCTGTTAATTTTGACAGCACATATTCCACGACAGAAGTTTAGCCGAATGTAAACAAGGATGGCTTTTATCCGTACTATAAGTGACTCAGCCTGTCAACTATAAATATTTAGAGTGTGGTTTTTAAGAGGAAAGGGAACTGATTGAAGATTGAAATCAAAACACATTTCACATGCCTATAAATATTGTACGTGAGTCAGAGTAGAACAAAGGGAGGGTTGGAAAATAGTATTTGTCTGTAATGCTTTTAGTACCTTTTTTTTCTTTCATTATTTTTAATAACAGATTGTGGGGATTTGGGCATTTAGCTTGGAGATTCCAGTCCTTTTTCACACTGCTAATTCAATATTTTATATGGTTTCTTCTCATAACTGTACAGTTCAGTAATTGTTTTGGGCACTTACTATATTTCAGTGTCAAATAATATGACAAAGTCCAATATTCTCTTTAATGACAAAGAAGCTTGCTGTAACAGAACATGTGCCCCCAAATAAAATTGTGATGTAGGCAAGAGAGAAACAATTGGAGTCTTAAAATATTCTCGCAATCTTATCCTTAAAATCTGATTAATTCTCATGTAATAATACTGAATTTTTGTCAGGTTCGACAGCTCTGTGAAATTTCAATCCTTTTTAAAAGTGACATTTGTTTCTTTTAAAGAGTGGATTCTCTAGATCAGTGGTTCTTAACCTTTTTGAAAGAATCGCCCCCTTGAGCCAATGAGGAAGTTGTCATCGCCCCCCTCCCCCAACATAACCTCTCAATCACAACATAGGAAATAATTCTTCAATTTATGCAAACACTTGTTTTGTTTTCTTTAAAATTGTCATCAGGACATATCGATGCAAATAATTTATTTCCAGTCTTTTCCCCATATCTCCCATATTCTGCCAATGCCGTGCCACTGTATGGATAGAGGTGCTGTGCAACACGCATGAAGATAAGCGATGCGTCTTCACATATGTACGGCGTTGTGTACTGAAGCTAGCTGGAGGAACATTTGAAAACACAATTCAATCCACTAATAGTGAGCGCGATCTGATGTTTTTGTACAACAGATATACAGCGATTCACTGTACGAAAAGGTCTCAAAAGTGTCCCCAAAACTTCTCGCTCCATCACCCCCATATCGCCCCTTTTTCGTTCCTTCACCCCCGTGTCGCCCCTTTTCATTCCATCGCCCCCCTGAAAAATGAAATCGCCCCCTGGGGGGCAATATCGCCCAGGTTAAGAACCACTGCTCTAGATGACGCTTAAGGGCAGTATAGAATTCACACCACTGATTTAGACAGTGCTTCTAAAAAGACCCCCTTAGAGATATGCATCATTTTTTTTAATATAGAGTTTTATTGAGTTTTATAGGGTTAGGGAGGGGGTGGGGTCAATATGGGAATTAGGGTTCGGGGTAGAGGACAGGGTTGGGGTTAGGTTTGGAACAAGGATAGGAACAATGGGGTTACTCCCCATTAGCATTTTCAAACTTTAGCAAACAGACTATTGTCCGGGTACATATGTTCGATAACAGTAATTAATATAGTAGTGAGTAGCTAGAGTAAAAATAGAAAACAATAGTCATGAACAATATAAATTAATCAATACATATCCTTCATTTTAATAAAATATATTTGCCATTAAATATCACAATCCTTTCTCACTATTTCGTTTTACTAACCATTGGTAAAAATTATCCCATATTTTAAAATAAACCGAGTCTTCTTTCTCTTTAATCTCTAAAGTTAATCTGTCCATTTCTGCACATAAGAGACATGCATCGTTTTAAGCAGATTTTGTACTTGCTGTTTGTTTGTTTGTTCTGTGTTTTGTGTTTAACTGTCAGTTGCCTTCCGGGGTGAGAAATTGTTAAAACGTTAGCTTTCACATGAGAAGAACAAGGAAAATGGCGATGAAATGCCACGAATTCTTGACCGTCAATTTTTCATTGTGCGTGTTATATTTTTGTCTAGGAAGATCCCTCGGAATGTAAGGATTTAACAAGCAGCTTTGTAACCATTCTGAAGCAGGTGGTTGGAGGAAAGCTCCTTGCGGATTACAACTATCACAACACTCCAGCCCCTTGGTTGCAAATCCAGCTTTTAAGAATACTGGGGCTACTTGGAAAAGATGATCCGAGGTAAATTCTCACAATTTTGATAACGAAAAGTGAGGGGGAAAAGTATTATTTGCAATACCAGCTATTTGCAGGTATGAACCATTTGCATGCTAAATAATTGTTCAGAGTTATTGAACGGTTTAAGTCCGATAAAGGGTTAGGGAACGACCTAAAGTCTCCCTTTTTTTAACAAAAAAAAAGTAATATTTTTTTTCTCCCTCTTTCTGTATCAGGACCAGTGAATTAATGTATGAAGTTTTGGATGAATCTTTAAGGAGAGCAGAAATCAATCACAACATTACCTATGGTAGGTGAAGTAAGATTGTCTAACATAAGAAGAACAAAATGTGTACTATAGGTCAGTGATGGCGAACCTTTTAGTGACCAGTGCCCCAAAACCTCCCCGCCCCCACTCTGCCCCGCCCGCTCCGCCCCCCGCCCCACCTGACCCTACTCCACCCCTGCTCTGCCCCACCCCACCCGCCCGCAGGGCCACCCATTGCCTCCACGACCTGCCGCAGATCGCCCAGGCAGCTCTGCAGCGCCATGGTGGCCATGCCCTCCACCCACGCCCCATAGCATCATCTGGGTCATGAGGGTGGCGTCTTGTCCCTGCTGCCCAGCTACTATGGCTTGGCTGCGCTGCTCCGTGTGGGCCATGCCCGGGGGCGATTCTCCAGGGGGGCTGCTGGTGAGGGGGCCACGTGGGGAGGCGGGGCTGGGGTGATGGCGCACGTGCCCACAGAGAGGGTTCTGAGTGCCGCCTCTGGCACGCGTGCCATAGGTTCGCCACCACTGCTATAGGTAGTGCTTGGCTTACAACAATTCGTTTAGTGACCATTCAAAGTTACAACGGCACTGAAAAAAGTGACTTACAGCATGACCGGTTTTCACACTTAACAACCGTTGCAGCCTTCCCCGTGGTCACGTGATCAAAATTCAGAGGCTCGGCAACTGACTCATATTTATGACGGTTGCAGTGTCCTGAGGTCTTAGGATCCCCTTTGGCGACCTTGTGACAAGCCGAATCAAGGGGGGAAGCCAGAGCCACTTAACAACCGTGTGACCTGCTTAACGACTGCAGGGATTCACTTAACAGCCGTGGCAAGAAAGGTCGTAAAATGAGGCAAAACTCACTTAACAAATGTCTCGCTTAGCAACCGATATTTTGGGCGCAATTGTGGTTGTAAGCTGAGGACGACCTGTACTAGACATTCCTGCTGGTGGCAGAACCGTTCTTGATAGAATAGTGACAGGTGTGCTCTAATGCAGCGTTCCCCAACCTTTCTGTCAATGTTGGGGGGAGAGGGGGGAAAGAGGGGATGGTCTTGTGGGAGGGCAGGAGCGTGCGTGTGCGCACAAGCATCCATTATTCACTTCCGTGGGGCTGTGAGTACCTGCGACATTCACACCAAATGGGGCTGCGAGTGCCCATGACACTCGCTCAAGTGGGGCCTTGAACCTTGCCACGCTTGCTAAGTGGGGTCGCGACCCCCCCGCAAGTGGGGCTCCAAGCGCCCATGACACTTGCGTGAGTGGGGCTGTACGCACACATGTGGACCAACCATCTACTCCCACGGCCTGGTTGCAAATAGGCCACGGACCGGTAATGGGCTGCAACCCACAGGTTGGGGACTCCTGCTGTAATGCGCTACAAATGCTTTCCTGCCTCTTGTCAGCTGCTTGGATTTGTTTTTAATATTCCCGCATCATCATTTTTTTTTTTAATGCATCGGATCTCACATGTGCTCTTTGTCTTTCCTGCAGCGATCCTGTTTGAATGTGTCCACACCATTTATACAATTCACTCCAGATCTGATCTGCTCGAGAAGGCCGCCAAATGCATTGGGAAATTTGTCTTGTCTCCTAAAATTAATTTGAAATATTTGGGTGAGTTCTCTCATTTCCCCCCCCCCCCACACACACACCTCAAACGGAATAAATGCTGAATGCCTACAGTTTCATTTTTCCAACTTTCTAGTTCAGTGGTTCTCAACCTGTGGGTCGGGACCCCATTTGGGGTCGAACGACCATTTCACGGGGGTCACCAAACAACGCAGTCCGCCATTTTTTCCCCTTTTCCTTAGCTGTGCTACTCCCTTTTATTCTATTGGCTTTGGAAAGCCAATAGAATAGACTCTCTTGAATAGAGTCTAATTCTATTGGCTTTCAAAAGCCAATAGGAATTGTCCAGGCTGCCTCTGCCCTGCTGAGCCTGCCAAAAGTCCCATTCTGCAAACGGTGCTGCACCAGTTGAGTAGTCCTTGACATACGACCGGTTGGGGGTCGCGGCATTAAAAAGGTTGAGAACCACTGTTCTAGTTTCTTTTTTCTCCCCTCCCTAGGATTAAAGGCTTTAACGTATGTCGTCCAGCAGGACCCCAACCTTGCACTGCAACACCAAATCACAATAATTGAGTGTCTGGAACATCCTGATCCCATCATTAAAAGAGAGGTAATAAAAACCAAGTTATCATTTTATGTTAATGGAGTTAGGCCCTCTTAGCAAAGTAATAAATAAATGCAGGCAGTCCTCAATTAACGACCACCATCAAGCCCAAAACGTCTCTTGCTAGAGTGAGACATTTGTTAAGAGAGTTTTGTCTCATTTTATTGTCATGGTTGCTGATCCGAAGGTTGCACAAGCTAATCACATGACCCAGCAACCCTCATAAATATGAATCCGTTGCCAGGTGTCCAAATTTTGATCACGTGTCCACTGGGTTGCTGTAATGGTCATAAGTGTGAAAAAATGGTCATAAGTCATTTTTTTCCAGTGCCGTTGTAACTTAAAACGGTCACTAAATGAACTGTTGTAAGATATGGCCTATCTGTAATTGCATTTCTTTGATTATTGCACTAATTGGTCCCTAAACCGAACATAGCATTATGTTTTATCTTCCTTCTGTTTCACTCGAGTGAAATGTATTAAACCTTTATCCATTCTGCCGTCTCCTTTAGACCTTGGAACTTCTGTACCGAATAACCAATGAACAAAACGTCACTGTCATTGTACAGAAGATGCTTGACTACATAAATCAAAGCAAAGAGGAATATACCATCATCAACATTGCTGGAAAAATAGCAGAGTTAGCTGAAAAATATCCTTTTTTTTTTTTTTGCTGCGTGTGCGTGCACCTATTAGGTGAACTTCTATATCTCTCCACGTGCTTTAATTGTCGGTGTGGATATAATCATTTTGAGGGTTGTTCCATTTTATTGCATCTAAAACTGAGTTGTTTTTTTTTTTAAAAAAAAAATAGGATCTGCCTTGCAGTCACCTAAAATTACCCAGGTTGATTGTATCAAGATCAAAATTTTGCTTCCGACTAAGTCACATTACATCAGAGCTGCACAATCTGGATCGTGCCTTTGAAACTGCATTCCTGACATCTGAAAATCATGGAAATCCTAGCAAATATATGTAGTCCTTACTGAACAAGCACAACTCGGATTGGCAACTTTGCCACTAAGCGAGACATCGTGTGACTTGTGATTTTACTGCTGGTTTTTCCATTGCTTTTCAGAAGCCAGCTGCGGTGCTTGCAAATGGCAGTTGTGATTGCAGGAAGACTGCGATGGTTAAATGTGGGAAAACCTGTCATAAAGTTACTTTTTTCAGTGTGGTTGTAACTGAACGGTGGCTAAACAGGACAGTCATTAAGCCAGGACGGCTTGTAATTGGTACAGACTTGTGTGAACGAACGCCTTGCTATCATTTCAGGTCCCTGAACGCTAATAAATGCTTCCCCCTCTTTGCGCGCAAGTTAACTTTAATAAAGACATTTATTATCTCTGTAAGACTCTGTAATAGAACACTTAGTGCTGTCTTGATGTCCTTTCCTTAATGTCGCTGACACATATGCTCCAAACAATGAATGGTTCATCCGGACGATGAATGCCGTGTTTTCTGTGGGAGGAGATAAAATGCATCCCGACGTTCTGAACAATTTCTTGAGACTTCTTGCGGAAGGTGAGCAAACTGGGTGAGAATAATGCAATCCTCTTATTAAATAATACTAATAAAAGAATAGCTATTTCCATGAATTAAAAAAAACAAGCCTCTTTTTCTTAGGCTTTGAAGATGAGAAGGAAGACGTTCAGCTGCGGTTTCACGCTGTCCAATCTTACCTGTCATTACTAGAGGACAAAAATGCAGTTTATCCGCAGAAATTTCTTCAAGTGATGAGTTGGGTAAGGAAAAAAACAAACAAAGATGAGACTATTTTAACATTAGTGAAATCTACGTATAGACAGATAATTAAACATTGGAGGACTGAATTGCAACTGTACACAAGTCCAGATGGATTTAGAATATTTTGGAGGAATTATTATGTATTATTGTTATTACTTAATATTATTGTTAGTCATCATAAGGATGACTCTCTTCATCGTGTGATTCAGTTGGAATTTTAGTTATGAGATCATTACCACTGCTTCATATAACTACTACCTAAAAAATTCAGTTTGGGTTCCAAAAATCCCAATTCTATGCATTGCTTGTTTTCATGTGCCTATATACATAACTCCCAACAAAAAAACCCTTCCTTTTCAGTTGCTCGGACATTACCCCTGAATTGTATCTGAAGGGAAGAAAGGAGACGAGAGAGAAAAGAGTAAAGGAGGGGAGAAGAGAGTAGGAAGGTTGGAGGAGAAGTGGGAAGAAAGGGGAGGAGAGTGGTGAAGGAAAGAGAAGAGGAGAGGAAGAAGAGAGAAGTAGGGAAGAGAAGAAAGGGAGAAAGAAGGTAGAGAAGAAGGAGTGTGGATACAGTGAAAGGGGAAATGGGCGACCAACACCAAAAGTCATGTGTATGTATTTATTTCATTTTATTAAAAGTATCTTATATATGAATGTAAAAAGAATGTATGTTAACATCTGATAAATATCACGATATATGAATGGGGGAGAGTTTAGAAAAATAAAAAATAATTTTGAAAAAACCTCCTTTTCAACATCAAATTTAAAACATTATTTTTATGACTTTCAATTAAGATCTTATTAAGTCCAATTTTGATACCAACAAAGCTAATTATCTGGTAGTAATAAGTGAATATTTTTTTAACTGCAAACGTTCTTTAGAAATTGGAAAAGGGTAAAAACACTTTTGGAAGGGGTTTCTGATTTTGCTCCTCTTTTTTCATTCTTTGATCATTCTTTTTTAAGTGTGAGGATAAATGTTCAGTATAAAGAATAGTTCATTATAAGGGACAACAAGATAAGAGTTGGAATGAGAACCAAGTGAAGATGAAAACCTTATTATTACTGAAATTTTGGCTTTAAAGGTCTCAAGTCCCTTCCTTTATGAAATATCTGTCTCACTGAACAACTGTTTAAGAAATATATTCTTCCTGAATATTTCTATTTCATGTGATAGCAAATGAATGTCATCAGTGTTGCTCTTATATTCAGTTTAACAGTTTCTTAAACTAGAGAAAATCCAAACTGGAATTTGCAATCTATGCTGTTAAAATGACTTTCTATTCATTGACTAATCGTGATATTTTAAATTTTTTTTCCTGACAGGTATTGGGAGAGTACAGTTACCTCCTGCAAAACGTGGATCCTGAAGTTGTTTTAGCAAGTCTGTATCGGATCCTTAAAAGCAACGCCACGTCTGAAACCAAAGCTTGGATCGTGGCTGCAATTTCTAAAACGGCTTCCCGTGCAACTGGTTCAAAGACGGTGGAGAAATTCCTCTTCGAATTCAGCGCATCCTTGGATACCAGCATGAGGCAGCAGGCGTTCGAGTTAAAATACCTTTACCAAAATAAGGAACTGATGAAGAGACTGTTTCCACTTGATGCGAGCTGTAAGAACGTTGTGGTGAGTCCTTGTTACTACAAGGTGCAATGGTACGTGAGAATGACTTTAGGGCAGACATGTCAAACATAAGGCTGGATGCAGCCGGATGCAGCCCGCGATGTGGTTTCATGTGGCCTGCGAAGCCATCCTGGAAACAGTGAGGGCACGGCCCCCGCTGCCTTGGCCCTGGCCCAGGCCGGCCGGGAGCCTATGTACAATTTTGTGGTGGCCATCTATGCTGAAACACATTCAGCCTTAGCTCCACAAGGCTGTCTGGAAACAGCGAGGAACCAACCCCTGCTGTGTCGCCCCCGCCCCCTGGGTGCATGCTGGGGAGGTGTCACCCTTTGTGAGAAATGAAGAAATGCACCATCGCCTGGAAGTAGCCAGCAAATGGCCCTCGCCTACATCACATATCTGGCTTGATGGGCTCTGGGGGAGGGGTTTTGGCAGGCTCTTCCAGTGGACCATGCCTTGGCACTTGCCCCGGTCCCACCCCCTTCTGCCAGAGACCCTCAGATCTGTCCCACTCCTGCCCAGGCCCCCACAGGCACCCTTGATGCAAATGATGTAGAATTGGCTATGCCCACCCAGTAGGCCACACCCACTCCAGCCATGCCCACGCAGTAGGCCACGCCCACCCTGGCCACACCTACCCGGCCCCCTGAGGACAACCGCAATGTTGATGCAGCCCTCAGTGAAATTGAGTTTGACACCCCTGCTTTAGGGGCAGTGGTCAGACAAAAGGCAACTGAGCCCACAATTGTTATTGGGCTGTGGCAAAGTCTCAGAAGGGACACCCCCCCATGTTTCTTAGACTAAAATGCAAGGGGGGGGGAAGAGAGAGATATCCTTTCAAATGTGCGGGGCTCTGTTAATTGTAACCTTACAATAAAGACAGAACATACCTATGTTGTGTAGACCAGTGGTTCTTAACCTTTTTGAACGAATCGCCCCCTTGAGCCAACGAGGAAGTTGTCATCGCCCCCCTCCCCCAACATAACCTCTCAATCACAACATAGGAAATAATTCTTTAATTTATGCAAACACTTGTTTTGTTTTCTTTAAAATTGTCATCAGGACATATCGATGCAAATAATTTATTTCCAATCTTTTCCCCATATCTCCCATATTCTGGCCAATGGCGCGCCACTGTATGGGTAGAGGCTGCTGCGCAACGCGCATGAAGATAAGCGATGCGTCTTCACGTATGTACAGCGTTCTGTACTGAAGCTAGCTGGAGGAACATTTGAAAACACAATTCAATCCACTAATAGCGAGCGATCTGATGATTTTGTACGACAGATATACAGCAGTTCACTGTATGAAAAAGTCTCAAAAGTGTCCCCAAAACTTCTCACTCCATCGCCCCCATATTGTCCCCTTTTCATTCCATCGCCCCCTGAAAAGTGAACTTGCCCCCTGGGGGGCAATATTACCCAGGTTAAGAACTACTGGTGTAGTGTATGTTTAAATGTGTGTTATGTATGTACTTGGAGAGCAAGCAACTCAATTTCCTTTTTAATGCGTGCCATTGTGCCCACAGGTAAAAAAAAATGACAACAAAGATTATCTAATCTAATCTAATGCGACATTTTCTTAAAAAATAATATTTTCAATAACGTGATAGTGCACTCTAAGCCAGTAATTTATTATCCGATGGGTTGTTTTATAACAGCTTTGGCTTTCTCATTTCTACAAAGTCACCTTTGTCCTTTTCTCTCCTTGTTTTAAACACTTTTGTCTACTTCAAACACTTCTATGTCAGGCTTCTTAGTAGGTATGGCTATAAATTTTGATTTTGCAGTCTAATCTAATAGTCCTGAGGGTATTGTCTGACTACGTTGACAATACAGGTAATCCTTGACTTACAGCAGACCTTTCAAAGTTACAATGGCAGTAAAACAAGTGTCTTATGACCATTTTTCACAGTTACCACCTTTCCAGCCTTCCCATGATCATGTGATCAAAATTCAGATGCTTGGCAACTGCTTCGTACTTATGACGGTTGCTGCGTCCTGGGATCACATGATCTCCTTTGGCGACTTTCCGACAAGCAAAGTCAACGGGGAAGACAGATTCACTTAACAATCGGGTTACTAACTTATCAACTACAATGACTCACTTAACAACGGAGCCGAGAAAGGCCGCAAAATGGGGCAAAATTCACTTAACAAATGTCTCGCTTAAACGACAGAAATTTCAGGCTCAGTTATTGTGTCGTAAGTCGAGGATAACCTGTATGTGCACCCTTGCTGCTTATTTCTTGAGAACTAAGCACTTCTTATGAAAGAGGAGGGCTGTGTTTTTGAAATTTGCTTTATAAATAAAAGATCCAGACGAGCCATTTTGCTTGGAAGAGTGCAGACTGTTCTGGACATTATTATTGTTTTCCATAATAATAAAACCGAATGTCTAGGCTTATGCACTTAGTTCAGTTCTTGCTGAGGACATCTGATTCCAATTAGCTTCTTACAAGAAGCTCAGTGTACCTTTATTCTGCCAGAGCTGCATGTTGTGAACGAGCGACAGGGATCTGGCATGTCTGTCAGTCTGCTGGAGGGGAAAAAAAAAAAAATCCAGAATGATGCTTCCTTTAAACATGTCTTAACCGAATAACCATCTTCGACCCATCTCTGATTCAATATAGGTGGATGCTTCATTGTCTTTCTTAGACGGTTTTGTGGCTGAAGGACTGGACCGGGGTGCGTTGCCATACAAACCTCATCACCAAAGACAGGAAGAGAAGCTGTCCCAGGAAAAAGGTGATTGCTTTCTAATAAATCAGTGGTTCTCAACCTATTTAATGCCGTGACCCCCAACCGGTTGTAAGTCGAGGACTACTCAACCGATCGTAAGTCGAGGACTACTCAACTGGTGCAGCCCCGTTTGCAGAAGGGGACTTTTGGCGGGCTCAGCAGGGCAGAGACAGCCTGGACAATTCCTATTGGCTTTGGAAAGCCAATAGAATTAGACTCTATTCAAGAAAGTCTATTCTATTGGCTTTCAAAAGCCAATAGAATAGAAGGGAGTAGCACAGCTAAGGAAAAGGGGGAAAAAATGGCAGACTGCGTTGTTTGGAGACCCCTGTGAAATGGTCGTTCGACCCCAAAAGGGGTCCCGACCCACAGGTTGAGAACCACTGTAATAAATGAAGATCATGTATTGCTTCCTAACTAATTCCTAATTGTTTCCTAACGGAACGATTAAGCAGTGGAACAGAAGTTGCCTTCAGAAGTTGTGGGTGCTTCCTCACTGGAGGTTTTTTTAAGAAGAGAATGGACGGACACTTGTCTGAAATGGGGTAGGTCCTCCTGCTTGAGCAGGGGTTGGACTAGAAGACCTCCAAAGTCCCTTCCAGCTGTATTCTGGTTGATTGATTGCTTAACTCAGTGATGGCGAACCTTTTAGAGACCGAGTGCCCAAACTGCAACCCAAAGGCCACATATGCATCGTCGGGTGCCGGGTGGGCGTGGTCCATTGGGTGGGCGTGGCTGCGGTGGTAACCCTGGCCTTGAAGTTGATGCTTGTTATTTCTCTTTGCAGCTTTGAACTTTGAACCCTACGGGGACTCCTTTTCTCGGAGCTTCCCTGCATCCAGAATTACCGGCAGGCTATCTCCAACCGGACTTTCTCTGGGCTCGGATAATAGTGTGGAGACAGGACAGAAAGAGTAAGTGTCTTCGTCTCTTCAGCAAGGACTTTAAAACGCAGCCTGCCCTCCGTTCATACCTTGCTACACAACGGTTTGACCAACAAAACAGTAACTTCTGTCAGAGTCAGGGGAAAGGTAATACTCAATTCTGAAGCGAGTGGGAGACCGACCAGGTTCTTGACGTGCCTTGATGACACCTTTCCAATACAAAAGGTGGAAGGGACAACTAGAAGGACATCTATACTGGACTTCATTCTTACTTACAGGGTTGAACTGGTTGAGGGAATGGAAGCTATAGGAACTTTGGGGAAAACAGTGAGAATGATTAATTAGTGGAACAGCTCGCTTCCTGGACTTGTGAGTGGTCCATCACGGAAGTTTCTCAAGGAAAGATTGGACAGCCTTAGTGTCAAGGTTCCGACTAATGAAGCACTTCAAAGAACTTTCAGGCATGTTTCCTAAAGTCTTTATTACAGAGCTACAAATTGCCGGTCACCATCATGGACGTTTTGATGCCAGAATCTGACTTCCTCTTGCTGGCATCAATACTGTATATTCTTGCTTTGACACTTTGTCTGGTAAAAGATCCCCTGCCTTGGGCAGGAAGTTGAACAGAACAGAATAACAGAGTTGGAAGGAACCTTGGAGGTCTTCTAGCCCAACCTCTGCTCAAGCAGGACACCCTATATCGTTTTAGACAAGTGGCCGTCCAGTTTCTTCTTAAAAGCCTCCAATGATGGAGCAGCCACAACTTCTGAAGGCAAGCCCTTCCACTGGTTCATTGTTCTTACTATCCGGAAGTTTCTCCTTAGTTCTAGGTTGCTTCTCTCCTCGATTAGTTTTCATCCATTGCTTCTTGTCCTGCCTTCAGGGGCTTTGGAAAATAGATTGACCCCCCTCTTCTTTGCGGCAGACCTTCAGATATTGGAACACTTGCTCTCATGTCACCCCTAATTCTTATTTTCACTAACTAGACATACCGAATTCCTGCAACCGTTCTTCGTATGTTTTAGCCTAAGCCTCTTGCTCTTGTCTTTCCAGAGTCTCAACATCCTTTTTTATATTGCGTTGACCAAAATTGGATGCAGCATTCCATACTCGGAATGCTGCACCCAGTTTTGGTCAACGCAGTATAAAAATATTGGCGGTCTTCTTGTCAGACTAGAGCAGGGATCCCCAACCCCCGGTCCATGGACTGGTACCGGGCCGCGGCAGGCCAGCAACCGGTCTGCACAAACAAGCAAAGCCCCATCCGCAAGATGCAGGCAACACACAAAACCACACACCCTCTGGTCCGTGGAAAAACCTCTCTCCACGGAACCGGTCCCTGGTGCCCCAAACGTTGGGGACCGCTGGACTAGAAGCCCTGAAAGGTCCCTTCCAGCCCTAGGATTCTATGATTCTAACCACTATCACCTCTTTAGGAACAACAGCCTGAAGCTTGAGGGCGTAAAGAAATTGTGGAGCAAAGAAGGCTACCTCCCCCAGAAGAAAAGCCCAGAAGAACGAGAAGAGATAACCACCGAGGCTGCTCTTCAGGGCGGCCCATCAGTAGAGACGGTGGCCGGCACTTTCCCACTGCAACCTAAGGAAGAAACGACAGAGGTCGCAGAACGGACCAATGAGAAGCAGCGGCTGGCTTCAGCACTCTTTGTCGGGCTAGGGTCACAAAGCAGCACCAATCTGGTAGGATGGCTCAGTTGTTGTTATTTATTCATTTTTATCCTGCCTTCATTACTTTTATAAACAAATACTTGTTTATAAATAAATATAAGTGATACTCCGTCCTGTTTTCATCCTTGGGCTAAGAAAGAGGGACTGTCCAGCCAACTTTCATAGGTAAAGAGGGACTAGAACTCCCAGACTCCTGGTGATTGACCCAAGGTCACCCAGCTGGCTTTCATGGCTAAGATGGGGCTAGAACTCCCAGGCTCATAGTGGATTGGCCCAAAGTCACCCAGTTGGCTTTCACGTTAAGGCGGGACTAGAAATCCCAGACTCCTAGTGATTGGCCCAGCCAGTTTAATGCCTAAGGGGAAACTATAACTCACAGTCTCCTGGTGATTGGCTCAAAGTAACCCAGCTGGCTTTTATGGGTAAGGCAGGAACTCACAGTCTCCCACTTTCTAGACTGGCACCTTAACCATTAGACCAGGGGTAAGCAACTTTGGCTCTTTTATGATTCGTGGACTTCAACTCCCAGAATTCCTGAGCCAGCATGGCTCAGCTTGGAAACCTTTCCCTTTCCCCTCAGCGTGGCTGGCTCAGGAATTCTGGGAGTCGAAGTCCACGAGTCATAAAAGAGCCAAGGTTGCCTACCCCTGCGCTAGACCAAACCGGCTCTAAATTGAAGCTTAATGTGCATGGTACATTTTTAGGATTCCCTCCCACCTCTCCCCTTCTTAGCTCCTGTTGCTTTGGTTGAGATGGTCCATTCCAACTTCCGCTTTCATTTTAATCCTGCTTTCCTATCTCACTTTCTTTCCTTTCTTTTTAAGATGGGCAAGGCAGACTCCACAGCCCAGAAGTTTACAAGGAAATTGAAAATGAACGAAGCCTTCCCTAATGAGAGCTCATTGCCTATGGAAAGCTCAACCACCACTTCCTTATTTCCGGAAGCGTTAACTGAAAAGAAGGACCTTTTTCTAAACAATGGACATCTCAAATTCAGGAAAGCTTCCCTAAATTCTGCTGAAATGCCGGAATACAAAACGGTGCTGGATCGCTCCCATTCGTTGCCGGAAGGTGAGTTGAATGAAAAGTCGCTGGATCACCAGTTTTCGCCATCTTCTTTATTTACCCACGGTCACATGGACGTTTTTCATCCTTCCCCAAGTTCTCCCACTAAAATTCGAAAGCAACTTTTGCAGCTAACTCCTCGGCTACCAGAAGAAGCAAGCCAGCATCCTCATTCCGACATTTCAGAACTCTGCAGCAACGAATCCCTGCTTGTGTATTTTTCTAAGGTCTGGAAAGAGGACTGTTTTCTGGTTTTTTTATTTCTCGCCAATAAAAGCCCTTCCGTTCTGAAAGACGTAAGGCTGGAATTCCAGCACTCGGAACATTTTAAGGTAACCCTTTTAGCACCATTTCTGCTGTCGTGCTGGCTTGGTGGTGATCCCACGAAGCATCTTTAACCCGTAGTTTTTTTCTTCTTTTCTTCTTTTATATTGAAGATGGTGGACGGTCTTGACTGCCCACTTGCTGTGATAGAAAATAAGAATATAGAAAGCTTCCAGATGTATGTAGAGATGGAGAAACCCTGTTCTTCAGGAAAAATCTTTGGTTGCATCAGTTATCCATTAGAATTGGAGGTCCATCTCAGATTTTCTCTCTCTTTAGAGCTGTTGGATTTTATTAGGTAATTACTGTATATAAAATAATTTCCTTAATACATGTGAAATGTAAACTAGAGCTAATTAAATTTAGTTAACTTGGTAAGCTTCTCTCCCACAGTTAGGTCTCTTTCTCCGTTTTTCCTCATCTTCTCCTCCTTGTCCTAGGTCAGGGGTGTCAAACTCAATTTCACTGAGGGCCGCATCAGCATTGTGGTTGCCCTGGGCGGGGATGGGGGGGGCAGAGTGGGTGCAGCCCACTGGGTGGGCATGGATGGAGTGGGTGTGGCCTACTGGGTGGGTGTGGACAGTTCCACATCATTCGCATCAAGGGTGCCTATGGGGGGGGCCTGGGCAGGAGTGGGACAGATCTGAGGGTCTCTGGCGGAAGGGGGGGGAACCGGGGCAAGTGCCAAGGCATGGTCCACCGGGGCAAATGCCAAAATGGCCACCACAAAATTGTACTTTGGCTCCCGGCTGGCCTGGGCCAAGGCAGCAGGGGCCGTTCCCTCACTGTTTCCAGGATGGCTTCGCGGGCCACATGAAACCACTTCGCGGGCCACATCCGGCCCCCAAGGCCTTGTGTTTGACATGTCTGCCCTAGGTTTTTTAGTATTGGAAAACTGAATGCTTCCAAGATCGGTAGACAAAGAGGGATCTATCAAGACTGAACAGGCAACTTGTAACCGGCACATCTATATATTTTGGCTACTTCAATAGCAAAGCATACTTGTAGGATAGTGGGGGGATTTCAGTCTGAGCCCCTCTTAATGATTATTCCAATATCAGTTTTTCATGAAATCTTTCTTAGCTTGGCTGTCTTGGCTGCATGCCCTTTGAAAATCCACCCCAATGGATGGAAAGGCTGACTTTTAAAAATGCATGGTAGATTAATTAAACGAAGTAGAATTGTTATCGTTGCCCATTCCTTTAGACTTTTTTTTCCTTCATTGCTATCGGCAGACCAATGAAGATGAGCACGGATGAATATGGAAAACTGTGGCTCTCCATTTCAAATGAAGTCAAACAAAATCTAAAGGTGGCACCATCTCAAGGTACCCTGTCCATGATGCTAGACATCCTTCAGCAAAAACTGAAGCTACATATTGTTGATATCATAGGTACGTAACTTAAAATTGTTTCAGATTCATGACATCTATCTATGACCCTGAAATTCTGGCCTAGTGCCAGTAGCTTAAACCACATTTTCCCAAAATTGGAATGACTTGGCTGTTAACTGAGGTGAAGCTACTTCTCTGAAGCAATTGGAAACCATTTGGGTTTTTCTCAGAAATTTGCATCGCCTTTCAGAGTTTCAAGAACATGGAGATACCCGCAGGATGTCTATAGTTATTTTCCGCTTCCCCCAAATGCCCAGTGTTGGGAAAATGTTCAATAATTGTGCATGTCTCTCCCTTTTCTACATCCAAACTGAAACCTCAGGGAGTGGTGGTTGAACAGGAACCAGAACCAGCTGTTTCCTCAGATATTAGAGAAAAGAAAAGGGTATTTGGGGAAATGAGTATTTTAACCAGCCTCAGCTAGCAGTATTCATAAAGCGTAATATTGTAGCTAGGATCCCAAAAAACAAAACAAAAATTGCACAATCCTTGCCCCCCCCCAACTTTGAGGCAGAAAGTCAACTCCCAGAATTCCTGAGCCAGCATAGCATAGCTGGCTCAGGAATTCTGGGAGTTGAAGTCCATGAGTCATAAAAGAGCCGAGGTTGCCTACCCCTGCCATAGGCAATCTGTGACATTTTCTCTTTGAATAATAAACCCACATGTGTCACAGTGGTTGTGCCTTAAAAGGACCCGGTGTAGGAGAAGAGCAGGCAGAGATGGGGTGGAGTTAAGCGCACCATCAGCTTAGAATTGTTATGTGGCCACAAACAGTTTTAAGTCCAAGTCCTCTCGAATTCTGTTGACTGTTATCCAGTGCCAATTTAATATTAAACTTTAGTTGTCTAGATTCTTGGATATAGGCTCGAGGGATAAATCTTCTGAACTGCAATTTCATGTATGGTCCTGATCCTTTGTGCCTGAGACCTGGATATTAAGAACTTTCCAAATGCCTTCTTTAGGAAATGAGGGAATAGCCACTTGTCGACTGCTTCCATCAACCCCGTGTCTTCTCCACTGCCGGCTCCATGCTGGAAAATTAGCCTTGTGGTTCAGATCACCTTGCTCTGCTCTACCAGACTGTTTACTTTATCAGTGTCAGAAGGTGATAGAAGAATCCTGAAAACCACACAGTCTCCTTTTTGGATTGATAGGAAGGAAGGGTGTGATTGTACACAGGGGTTTACCACACCCAACTTCTGTTCTACATGGAGTGGAGATGTGCCTTGGCATCAGCGTGGCTCTCCTTCCAGTGGGAGGAGAAAACCCATCACAATCAGCCTGACGTTGAGAAGACAGTAAGGTACGGGTAGCTGAACGAGACATGTTATGCAAGGCCCGTATTTTCTATTAATGTATTTGTATAACTCACAGGGGACTAGCAGTCGGATCAGTTACTTGAATTACTCAATCACTATGCTCCCTAGTGCAGAGAACGGTCTTAACTTCTGTTTACTTTTCTGAAGCTCTTGAAGTGGCTTCTTAAGCACTTACAGAAACAATCTGCGGATCACGAAAATGCAGTTCATCAATGCATCATGGCTGGGTCATGGCACGGTGAAAAATTCTTGGCTTGGCAGCAGTCACCGTTGACTGTACCTCAACAGAGACATCGGAATTATGGGGTCTGTCTTCAGTGTTTTGATCATATGGATATATAGTAGGATGACTAGGGGTTTTTGTGTGTGTGTGTGAGAGAGAGAGATCAAGGAAGTACCTTTTGCAAAGACAGCTTTAGATGGGCGGTGTGATTCTAGGTGTGCAATACAGAGTTTCGACAATTTTTGCGTGAACTTCCAGATCTTTTGACTTGGTGAGCTGTCCCTCCTCATCTTCCTACTACCTTTGGCCATGTGAAAATGTAAAAGATTTTTTTTTAAATAATAAATAAATAACTTAAGGTGGCAAACATATTTAATATTCCTTCCTCCTTCAGTTTTCTCTACAAGAACAACCCTATGAGGTGGGTTGGGCCAAGAGAAAGAGTGACTGGCCCAAAGTCACCCAGTGGGCTAAGGCGGGACTAGAACTCACCCTCTCCTGGTGTTTGGCCCAAAGTCACCCAGCTGACTTTCATGCGTAAAGCAGGACTAGAATTCAGTCTTCTGGTTTCTAGCCTGATGTCTTAAAAGTATATGCAGCCAAGTATTGATCTAATAGTATCTTTTTAGCAACTTTCTTGATCAGTGGGGAAGTTAAATAGAAACACATATATCTTAGCCCAGTGTTTCTCAACCTGGCCAACTTTAAGATGGGTTGCACTTCAACTCCCAGAATTCCCCAGCCAGCAATGTTGAGTTGAAGTCCCTATATCTTCTAGTTCAGTGGTTCTCAACCTTTTTAATGCCGCGACCCCCAACCGGTCGTAAGTCAAGGACTACTCAACTGGTGCAGCACCGTTTGCAGAATGGGACTTTTGGCGGGCTCAGCAGGGCAGAGACAGCCTGGACAATTCCTATTGGCTTTTGAAAGCCAATAGAATTAGACTCTATTCAAGAGAGTCTATTCTATTGGCTTTCAAAAGCCAATAGAATAAAAGGGAGTAGCACAGCTAAGGAAAAGGGGGAAAAAATGGCGGACTGCGTTGTTTGGCGACCCCCGTGAAATGGTCGTTCGACCCCAAATGGGGTCCCGACCCACAGGTTGAGAACCACTGATCTAGTTGCAAAACATGAGGAACACTAGGTGTATAAGTTTGGGTTTCCCCCCCCCCTTATCTTATGCCAGTGACGGCAAACCTTTTAGAGACCGAGTGCCCAAATCCCCCCGTCCCCCGCCACACCGTCTCCGCCCCGCGGCCACCCACCGCCTCCATGGCCTGCTGTAGATCGCCCAGGTGGCCCAGCAGCACCATGGTGGCCACGCCCCGCAGCATCATCTGCACGTGATGGGGCGTGAGGGCGGAGTCTTGTCCCTGCTGCCCGGCTGCCATGTCCTTGGCTGCGCTGTTCCGCGTGGGCCGCACCTGGGAGCGGCTCTCCTGCAGGGGGGGCTGCTGGTGAGGAAGGGACCACAGGGGGAGGCAGGGCTGGAGTGACGGCACACGTGCCCAGAGAGAGGACTCTGAGTGCCGCCTCTGGCACGCGTGCCATAGGTTCTCCACCACTGTCTTATGCCCTTCACTTCTTTTGCTTACCATTTCTTAGTTCCGGCAGAATGACGGCTTAGTTCTGAAAATGACGGCTATGTATATGTAGGTGTAATTAATGGATAGGCTGCGTTGCTAAGTAGATCGCAAGGCATCAAGAGAGAAAATAGAAACATCCTTTGTGAACGGCACACAGTTCTGATTGTAAAACATCGGCTCTTTCAAAGTTCGCCAATCTTCTTACTTAAGAAAGTACAGTGCAATTAACTAACAAAAGGGGTTGAATTTTTTTTTTTTTTTTGTCTTCCTGATTTTTCAGTGTTGTCACAAAGGAATGACAATGAATTAAAGAAATGTATTAAATCAGAGTTCTCCCAGCCATGCAACTTTAGGACGTGTGGGCTTCAACTCTGGCTGGCTGGGGAATTCTGGGAGTTGACATCCACAAGTCTTAAAAGTTGCCAAGGTGGAAGACCCCTGTATCAAATTATCTACAGAGACTGTTGTACGATCGTATTTAAGCCTTACAGGTTAAAAATAAGAACTTAGAGCAGTGTTTCTCAACCTTGACAATTTTAAGGCATGTGGACTTCAACTCCCAGAATTCCACAGCTAGCCAGAGTTTAAGCCCACACGTCCTGGCTGTGGAATTCTGGGAGTTGAAGTCCACATGCCTTAAAATTGTCAAAGTTGAGAAACACTGACTTAGAGGTTGAAAAAGCTAATACATTTGAAATATTATTTCTATATGACTGTTCCTGGTATATTATAGGATTTATCCTAACAGTTTAGGAAAGCTATAATTTCAAGTCTATGCAGTTTTTAACCACTGTCATCAAATGAGGCTTAAGTGGAGAGCTTCTGGCCTTCCAGATCTTACTCAGCTACAACTCTTAGCATTCTTCGCTACTATTTGCAGTTGTAGCCGAGCCATATTTGGAGGCTGAGAAGCTCGCTACTCATCTCCTTATAACAAAGATTCATCCATCTGCACACTGCAGATCCTGTTGTCCATTTTTTTCCCAAATGCTTATTGTCCTACTTCTGTCAAGTATCTAGATCTTAACCAAAGCTGGGTGGGACTTACTGGGTTTTCCTTAATTGTACCCCATCTACTTTTTATTTTCAAACTGTCTGCAGAAATGGTTTCTTTCTGTTCTTATTATCAGGTAACTTAAACCAATTGCAATGTAATAAATTATCCTGCTGCACCAAACAACTGTTGTGCATCGGTCACTGGGCCATTTATAATACCAAAGGACTGTTGTGTAATGCAAAACTTAGGCATGCTGCAATGAGCATTATATGCTACCCAACTGGCCTAAACTTGCAGTGCCTGTATCTACTGAAGAGGGCCATAAGGAATAATCAAAATATCTCAGTTTGGAAAACGAAGTCTTATTAGTTATGTCATTCTCAATGACTAGGTGTGACAGACTGACGATCTTTGTTCTTGGATAAAATGCAATGCTGTATTCTGCCTCATTCTAACCATGAGTTGAATAGGGCCATAATTTCTCCAGATGTCGAAAAACCACATGGAGGCCTGGTGGCTCAGAGGTAATAGTAATAGTGGTAAAGGGACCTTTGAGGTCATCTAGTCCAACCCCCTGCTCAGGCAGGAAACCCTACACCAGCGGTTCTCAACGTTTGTGTGACGGCGACCCCCGTCACACAAACGTTATGCGCATGCGCGGCGCTGCCCCCATGCGTGGCGCGGCCCCCAGAGGGGAGAAAATGGCGGATTGCCGCCTTTGGCGACCCCCGAAAAATGGTCGATCGACCCCAAATGGGGTCGCGACCCATAGGTTGAGAACCGCTGCCCTACACCATTTTGGACAAATGGCCGTCCAGTCTCTTCTTAAAAACTTCCAGTGTTGGCGCATTCACCGCTTCTGGAGGCAGGCTGTTCCACTGATTAATTGTTCTCACTGTCAGGAAGTTTAAAAGACACCAGCGGTTTGAGTCCTAACAGCGCATGATGGAGTGAGCTCCCGTCACTTGCCTCAGCTCCTGCCATTCGAAAGCATGTACATGCAAGTAGATAAATCGGTACCACTTCAGTGGGAAGGGAACAGTGCTCCATGTTTCACCGGACACTCTGTGCTGCAGTATGATGTCATGCTTGGCCATATGACTGCGGAAACATCTTCGGACAGTGTTGCTTCAAAGGCTTGGAAACGGAGATGAGCGCTCCTCTAAAGTTGGATACAGCCAGTGGAGTGAAACCCGCAAGGACTCCTTACCAGAAATCGCATAGCAGTCACAGTCCCGCTGTTTCCGGAGGGCATCAAACAGCAGAAGACAGACGTGAACGAGAGGGATTAAAGTTATAACAGCAACAAACAGAATCCCAGAGGAGACACATCCTTTCATCACAAATCGTTTAATGCATAATTTATGGTAAGGAAACACTATATCTGACTCAACACACTATAGATATTGTGGAACCGATGGTTTTACACGGTAACCCCACCAATATAAAAGTAAACACATTGAACATTACAGTGTAGAACCAGTCTGGGAAATTACATAAATACTCCTCCATATGTTTAAGGCTACTCAAGTCTCATATAAATATAAACGGCAAGACATTTGACTCCTTAGAAAAATAGTCCCAAGTTGGAATACCAATATGTGCAAGAGGTAACACGCCTGCCTGGCTGAAAATAATTGGATGGGTCTGGCCACAGTGAGTAACTCAAAGCATTTGGCTCCACAGTTAGTAGATATGGGTAACTGGGCAATTTCCAGAGAAGATGCTTGTACATTCAAAAAATAGGATGCTAACTTTCCATTTGATAAAGACAAACTCTTTACTAGTCTGAAAGAAGGCAGAATTAGACTCAGTTTTCAACCAGGTTGGTTATTAAATTGTGCTTTAAGCTATCTTGTGTCCTATGTGGGTATAATGGCTACATTGACACAAAGGATTAAGCCAGCATTGTGCAAAAACATGGTTTGCCAAGAACAGATACGGCAACCTGATTAACTCCTGTTAAGTCCCTTTCTGTAAAATGAAGCAGTTAAATGGGCTGCAGTCACCATGCAATTACAGCATTCGCTGTCGTGAATAATGTAACTGCACGAAATTGCATTTCCTGCAATTACACAATATTCACACACCTGCTGTCGTGCAATTAACAGTATTCACCAGGTGAAATGGGAAAACAGGTAGTCCTCGACTTATGACAGTTCATTTAGTGACCGTTCAAAGTTACAACGGCATTGAAAAAAGGGACTTGTGATCATTCTTCACAGTGATCGAAATTCAGATGCTTGGCAGCTGGTTCGTATTTATGATGGTTGCTGTGTCCCGGGGGGTGTGTGTCTTGTGAACCTTGTGACAAGCAAAGTCAGTGAGGAAGACAGATTCACTTAGCAACCGGGGTTTAGTAAATTACCAATTGCAGTGATTCACTTGACAACTGTGGCAAGAAAGGATGTAAAATGGGGCAAAACTCACTTAACCAAAGAAATTTTGAGCTCCAATTGTGGTTGTTAAGTTGAGGACTACCTGTATAACCTCTCATTTGTATGGCATGGTCTTGTAGGCTTAACTCACAATTGCTACTCTACAAATACTCTACATTTTCTTTTGCTAAAAACGTACTTATTTGCAGGCCAGACCCACTGAGCTTTAATAGATTAATTTGGGAGTCATCAACAAGATTGAAAAATCCCCATGTATGTTGTCCAAGAGCAGGGGTAGGCAACCTTGGCTCTTTTATGACTCACGGATTTCAACTCCCAGAACTCCTGAGTCAGCTATGCTGAGGAGAAAGGGAGAGGTTTCCAAGCAGAGTCATGCTGACTCAGGGAATTCTGGAAACTGAAGTCCATGAGTCATAAAAGAGCCAAGGTTGCTTACCCCTGGCCTAAGTCCTGTTCTAAGCGGTGAGCCTCCTAGACTAGGGGTAGGCAACCTCAGCTCTTTTATGACTCATGGACTTCAACTCCCAGAATTCCTGAGTCAGCCATGCTGAGGAGAAAGGGAGAGGTTTCCAAGCTGAGTCATGCTGACTCAGGAATTCTGGAACTGAAGTCCACGAGTCATAAAAGAGCCAAGGTTGCCTACCCCTGGCCTAGAGAGTAACATTTCTGACAAGGGACCACCGTTCTTTTGATGCTCTTTCAAATAATTTGCTATCAGCTCTTGACTAAACATTTTGCTATACAGTCGTGTCAACTTCCTGAATGGAAAGTGTGAATCACATAAGCCATCAGACCAGAATGATGTACTTTTTGGGAGGAGGGGAGGTTCATAAAAAAAAATATAGGAAAACTTAAGCAACTATATCTCCAAGGAGATGATAAAAGTATTCCTTGCGTTGGTTCCTTGGGATAACATGGGCATTACCAAGTATATTTTTGGCATAGCATGGATGTGGTTTGGCTTGGCCCGTTTCTTTCAGCAGATGCCATCTGCTGTTCTTCTCTCTGGTCTCCCTTTCATTTTCCTGTATACCACCTAAGGTGTCTACTGCTCATCAATTGTCCATTCTTCCCCTGGTGACTCTCCCAAGTGAGCAATCCTTCTGATGGAAAACATGGGATGATGGAAGGCTGCAGGGAAATTCACCATACCTGGAGTCTCTGCTCCATTTCAGAGCATCCCCTGTTGCAGCTGAACACGATAAGATCTCTGAAAGGATCTCCTTGGCCCAGTGTTCGTTTCAAACTTTCTCTGCTCTAGAACTGAATTTTGTTCACTTTGGTACTACCTGCAGCAATGTGCGAGGATTTTACGGAATGAACTTTTTTTTAATAGCTCCTCTTTTAGGTTTTTGGAGCCTTAATCATCCTTCGTTAAGAGAGTTGTGCCAACTTTTCCATTATTTTCAGTGGAAACACTATACCCTTTAAAAGCAATCTTGAGTTTTGTCCCTGTTTCTTACATCAAAGAGTTTCCCCTCATTTTTCAGTTTGGATTGTGTGGTTTTTCTTTTAAAACAAAGCTTGGCGCTTGCGTTTCCATTTTAAGGTTTTCTTCTGCAATGAAAATGCGGGTCGTTTTATTTGCTCTCCAAAATGGATCTTCGGGTTTATTTTTGCAACACTAAATTCCAATTACAAAAAAAAAAAAAAAACCTCGCACAATTTCTTTTGCATTGTAAATATCATTCTCTGTGCGAAAATGTTCTTTTATTTGCAGGGTGAAGTACATCTCACTTCTGATGGCTTTTCATTACCAACAGAAAGTCACATATTCCAGAATAAAAGCAGTTTGTTACCAAGATATTTTGTCTGGGGATGGGTGGGTTATAAAACAGAAGCAGGCCCTTATATTCCTTTCCCAACACTGTTTTGCCTCTCTTAATTTGATCTGTTCTTTAAAAGTTTTGGAAAGTTGAGTTTCAGAGGACCTTCTCGTCAAGTAGTTTGTTGATCCCATCGCAAATCTTTTTGAGGTGTGAGCGGCCTTCACCATCCAGGCTGTAGAGAGCCGTGAGGAATTCAACAGCTGCAAAGTGATCAAAGACATGGTTGATCCGTGCGTGAGACCTGGCTGTCAGGTGCCGTTCTACAAGTTCGTGGATGAGATCTTTGCACTCGTTCAACAGTCCCGAAAGAACATTCTTATCAAAGGTGAAGTCCACTTCATAAAAACTGACCAATGTCATGGCTGCCTGATTCAGCTTCTTGCGGAATTTCTCAATAATCTCCAGCTCGTCTGCATTGAATTGATTGTTTCGGTAGAGAATCCCAATCTTGATGGCGACTTTGATCAAGTCTTTCATAATTTTGTGGGCTTCTTTCTTGCTTTTCATGTGCTCAATGGTCACTTTGTACAACTCGTCGAAGATTTCGCTGCTGGTGTCGTCAATCAGCATGTTGACCATTGTCTTGTTTGCCATCTTGCTCAAAATCTTCTTTTGGGCTTGTAGAGCGAGACTCTTGGAACTAAAGTGATCAGGACCTAAAGGACACAACACGGCAACAAGAAGATAAACAGGAAAGTAAACAAAGGGAAAGAGAGAATTAATTGCAAGTCGTTTGTAATAAATCTCATAATTTAACACAAGCGCTGTCACTATTACTTCCTTTTTGTTTTTAACCTACGAAAAGCTATTCAGAAACCAAATAATACCAAATATTCATTTCAACATTTTTCATATTCTATCAGAGAAAAATATAACCTAATAATGTTGTAGGACAGTGGTGGCACCTATGGCATGGGTGCCAGAGGCGGCACTCAGAGCCCTCTCTGTGGGCACGTGCGCCGTCGCCCCAGTCCTAGGCCTTCAGCTGGGTTTTATAAAACCTTTTCGCTTTAGGCCTCCGCCACCATGTACAAAAAAAAAAAGGTTCAATCAATGAGTCAACTTCAACTTCTCGTGGGGAAAAAAAAGATCTTGCAAAGTTGGAATTGATTGATTGAACTTTTTAGTCCCACCCAGTCTGCCGTTACCACCGCAGCCACGCCCACCCAATGGGCCACACCACCCAATTGGCCACACCCAGCCAATGGGCCACACCCACCCGGCACCTGACAATGCATAGTGGGCTTGGGGTTGCAGTTTGGGCACACAGTCTCTAAAAGGTTCGCCATCACTGTTGTAGGAGATTTATTGCTCAAGCATATACACAAGAATCTAGTCAACTACAGTTCAGTACTAAACTGGCGCCAGATAAAGGTCAATAGGATTCATGAGAGGTTGGACTTGAACCATTTGTGGGAACGTAAGGATTCTAAACTGATGACGCACTTAACTCTACCCCCTACCTACCTCTACCTGCTCTTCTCTCACAAATGTGGATGGACAGAAAGAAAGTGCCCTTTGGCCATTGTTCATATGCACGCTAGAAGGCGCATATACGTTATCATTTGAGAATCTGGAACAGCCACTAAAGGCTTAAAACGTTCAGCGAATGATTGCAACCGAGCTATTTTGTAAAACATTTGCTGCTTATTCCCGCTCTCTTTTCCATGGCAATCAGAAGCCACCAATAATCCATATATGGGCAGAAATGCAACCCCAACTGGTTGTACTTAACTAACCTTGTGTGGAATTGAGGGGGAAGCGTACAGAGGCTTTTGAAGCCATATGGTGCCCCCCACCCCTTTTTAGAAAAGCAGGATAAATAGTAGGCGGTGAGAATTGGTTAAGCAAAGCCAGTGAAAGCTGTCAGATTTTTTTTTTTTTTTTTGCTATATCCAAGTTGCTTCAAAGACGTGCCCATTTTAGTCACTGGGAGACACTGTTGCTGTCAATACTGCAAATATGGCATATTCTTGCTTTTGACAATATGCAGAATTGTCTGGTAAATATGGGGTTAATAAAGAGCAGAAGGGGCGTTGGGGGTAAAGCCCGGGAAAGAAAGAGGAAGAAAAAAGAAACTTATCAACTTTCTTTTGTTTTGTTTTTTTCATTTCCCTTTAAGAAGCTTCAAGAAATCGCCAGCATAAATCCACTTTTAAAAGGGAGATTTAAAAACAAAACGAACTTAAGGGATATAATTTTGCAGGTGGGTTACAAACACAAATGCTGCTCGGGGGTCCAGATCGTCAGCTTGAAGGCCACAACCTTGAAGGACACAAAGGCACCTCAAATAAAGAGTAACACTATTGAAGAGTAATGCCATTAAATATCTACTCTTTGAATTTTAAACCCCCTCCTTTGCCTGATTTTGTGGCTTTTGATATTTTTCCCAATAGGGAAATGGGAATCCCTGCCACTGAGCACAAAGCAACTGATGTGGTTCCGGCTAATGAAACCTTCCAAAGAACTTCCAGGCATTGATTTTCCTAAAAGTCTTTTATTGTTACAAAATGTCGGCACAGGCACAACGGAGGGATGCTAGGATCTAAGTTCTCTTCCTCTGAGCAGTTAAATTATCAGCGTGTTCCCTCCCTAAATTAGCCGTCATATCTCACACTATCCAATTAGTGTGAAGGTCAAAGGTTCCCTTTCGTCTAGCTGTGAAACTGCTTACGGAATTCAAATGGGCCATTTTTGAGTTTTGCAATTTACTGCCTAAGACCTCTAAAGTAGCCCACTATTTATTTGAATGAATATCTATTTAAATTATGGGGGGAGGGGGGTTAGCAGGCCAGTGGGGGCAGACCGGCACAGCTGATCCTCCTCAGCGCATTTTTAATATTCTAAACAATTGGGGAAATTACTGAAGCCATAAAATTAAGAATAAAAATGATGAATAAGTGTGGTGTTTCAACTGCGAATGAACATCTGCATTCATTTTGAGAGGGGTCAGGATTCTTCCCACCCACCCCCAATGTGCCTTACCCTTTTTCTTCATGTTCTGAGAACTAGCTTGCCAATGACGGGCACTGAGTTCAGACCAGTGGCCGGTTTGTTAGAGAAAAACAGACTGGAATGATAATAATTCAGTTAATAAGCACTCGGTGAGAAAACCAGAGTTTAGATAGTGGGTGTAGGAGATGACCAGGTGGAGGGCAGGATCAAAGGCATCAGCAGTTTGGAGACTGTGTGTTCCCACAAGAGACCGAAGTCCAGGCCCTTGTGAATTCTGTTGACTCTCATCTAGGACCAATTTGGCTTGACCGTTAGATCAGATTTTTGTGTATAGACAACATGAAACAAACTTTTAGTGCTTTGAACTGCCCTATTCAACTTCAACAGAAGACAACGTTTGTAGCCTGCAGTTGAACTGAGGGGTCCTTGGTGCTCTTTGAGCTTGGTCATTTTCTTGCAGATGTTTCATTACCTGACTAGGTAATGTCATCAGTGGTAGGGATGTTACTTAGTCAGGCAATGCTATGTCTGCAAGCCAACAACCAAGTTCAGAGAGCATCTAGGACCCCACAGTTGAACCAAGAGCTTACACATATTCTCTTCTATTGAAATTTTGAAATTCACCTAGAACTGGAACACAAGACATCTCTTTATCTGGTACCATCAACTAGGACCTGCCTTATAATTACGCTGTCTTAATTACATAAAGACTGGATTTGCTCACCTGTGGCTCGATCAGATCCCACTTACCACCAGGATTTATACAATATGTTAAGCATGCTTAGTTTTAACAGTACTTTTCCTAGGGTTGAATTATCCTGGTGGGTACACCCCGCTTATTTCATAAGTTAATACTTTAATGCTTTAATGCAAAGCCAGAACACTATTTAGCTGAGTAACCAAATTAAGGCTTTTCCTAATGTGACCCCCTGTGGGGGTCAATATATTTCAACTCTGCATCTGTGTGAACTTTAAATCAATGGATCAGAAAGAGCAGAGGACATTCAGGGCTATTATTGATACAAGCACTGAGACTATAATTATAGATAGGAGAGAAAGGATACGAAAAGTTCTTTAAACGGAACCTTCTCAAAATATTTTCTTCGCCCTTCCCATATCATAAATGCAGACTATGTGAGCATCTGTGAGATTCCCAAAATATTTTATCTCCAGATGGCCGAATAAAGTGTACAAATTGTTACAGGGATTTTTCCCCCCCATATGGGATGGTTCAGCTATGTTATTTGCATGTAAATATGGTTCCTATTCAACACAGGCACTACATGCATGCAGATATACAATGCTCAAAGCAAAACTTTGGTATTTGTTCCAAGATGCAAGAAAAATTAAACTTGAACCTTCGCTACTAAATGCTGCAGCTGAATTAATAAAGACTACTAAACTTATAAACCATTGCAACAAACCATGGTTACGTGATCAAAATTTGGGCACTTGGCATGTGTTTACAATGAGGGCATGTGATCACCATTTACAATCTTCTCAGCAAGCCAAATCAATGGAGGAAGCTAGATTCGCTTAACGTCCATATGACTTGCTTAACAACTGCAGTGATTTGCTTAACAGCGGTAGCAAAAACATAAAATTGGTTATGGTTCATTTAATGACCACTTTACTTTAGCAATTCTGCACTGTAACTGTGGTATGCGGCTGCCAAAAAAGCCAACACAGTGCTAGGCTGCATTAACAGATGATAGAATCCAGATCACATGAAGTGTTAATACTGCTTTATATAACGTCTTGGTAAGGCCACACTTGGAATTCTGGCAGGTGAAGTCCACACATCTTAAAGTTGCAAGCTTGACGAACACAGCTTTGGTAAGGCCTTGGTAAGGCCACACTTGGAATACTGCATCCAGTTTTGGTCACCATGATTTAAAAAAGATGTTGAGATTCTAAAAGAGGGCAGAGAAGAGCAACAAAGATGATCAGGACTGGAGGCTAAAGCATACAAGGAACAGTTGCTGGAATTGGGTAGGTCTAGTTTAATGAAGAGAAGGACGAGGTTTGCATGACAGCAGTCTTTGGATATCTCAGGGGCTGCCCCAAAGAAGAGGGAGTCACTATTCTCCAAAGCACCTGAAGGCAGGACAAGAAGCAAGGGATGGAAACTCATCAAGGAGAGAAGCAACCTAGAACTAAGGAGAAATTTCCTGACAGGTAGAACAATTAACTAGTGGAACAACCTGCCTCCAGAAGTGGTGAATGCTCCAACACTGGAAGGTTTTAAGAAGAGACTGGACATGCATTTGTCTGAAATGGTATAGAGTTTCCTGCCTGAGCAGGGGGTTGGACTAGAAGACCTCCAAGATCCTTCCAACTCTGTTCTATACTATTCTGTTCTATTCTATTCATAAGTGGAGGACTGCCTGTACTTAAGATAAACTTTGAGGGAATAAAGCTGCATTCCTCACTTTTTGCCAGGAATTACCGTCACAGTGACTTGGTTAACTGAAAATGCTCTGCACTTGGCTCAAAGCAATTTGGTTTAACAAGCTGAATCTTGTACTTTGCAAATATATTTAAATAATTTCTAACAGTGCAATAACTCACTGTTGATACGGGGTGTAAACAAATGTCAAGAAGAAATATGCTCATGAAAAAAATCAGCTAAGCGTAATAATTCTAGTTAGAATAAATATGTTAAATCCTCTGGGTGTCGCAAACAGGGAGGTGAAGCAATGCTTTGGCTTAGACTAATCACACCGCTCTTGAGAGTGTGCATGAAATAAAGCTTTCGGGGTATAGTAAGTGTGAAATACAGTTTACAACTCTGGGTTCAAGGGCTTGCTTGCTTAGAAAACTGGTTTCAGAATCATGCTAAGGCAGATGTTTAAAACCATAGTTTAACAAACTGGAATGCTTGCATTCACTCGGAACATTTGAAGCTCAAATCCAACTGCTGCGGCTAAGCATGTTGCTGGAAACTCATCAGAGCAATAATTGTAAACTCATGTTTAATTGGAACTAAAGCTGATTAATGTTGTTGGGACTAATTTTGAATAAGAAAGCAGTCATCAAGCATGCCCCCTAATTCTCTCATCAGCATTCATGGCATGGTATGGATTGTTAGTCAGCCTGAGTTTAATGCTTTATATTTCTCTTTGACTATTGTTTAAAAATAGCCCTGTGTTTGTTATTTAGGGATGGAAATAGATCTGAATAGAAATGGGGATGAGCCACGAGCATTGTTCACTCATAATGCTAAAATCTAAAGTCTGATCTGCTGTGTAATTCTTTGTCTCCGGCAATTCTAATTGCCACCCCAAACTTGTCAAACATCTACCAAGCTAAGCCAATTGAGGCTGGAAGCTGTGGATATTTACACACAAGGAAGCCCCTTTAGAAGACTGAAGATTAGGACATTTAGGAAGAAACCACTGGCAAACCACTTCTGTATGATGGCCAAGAAAACGACATGGTTCATGAAGTCAACGAAGTCCTATCAAATGAATTGGGAAAGATTGAAGGCAACAGGAGAACGGGACAGTAAAGGATGAGATGATTAGATAGTGTCATCAACACAATGGACATGAATCTGGGCAAACTCTGGGAGACAATGGAGGACAGGAGGGCCTGGCTGTGATCCACGGAGTTGCAAAGAGTCAGACATAACTTAGTGACTGAACAGCAACAACAACAAAAATCAAACGAATACAAAAGTCCATAGCATCAATCAGCAAGTTCCTTTCTAAGACTGCTCTACACACGGATTGACTTGCGAGAGTCACTCATGACGCAAATCCAAAATACTTTTAACGTGGTTGGTTCAACACACTGCATGGTCCTGGTTTGCAGACATTAACCCGCCCTGGATGGATTCACACATTTTGCTAAATCCCAGACAGGAAAGCTGCAGGATTTTCTTACGCTCTCTCCATCCTGTGGCTTTGCTTAACATCCAGATGGGTGAAATGTCTCGAAGAACTCAAATATCTGCCTGCCGATCCTCTTAAAAATATAGTCTGACTCCAAATGTTCTTTCTGTTCATTGCAGTATTCTTTTCTACAAAGACCCACCTGTTGTTCCCAGAATCTCAACCATCTCAAGTGAGGTCCCAGTGAGAATTCATGACACTCCTTGCCCTAAGATCCTTCGCCTTTTAAGGCATGGAAACTATTTTTGTGACCCTTTAGCTTTAAAGGGGAGCCACAAGGGGCCATTCCTTCACAATCCTGGGGGGCAGAATCTTTGGACATGTCTGATATGTTGGCGGATGAAATATTTTTTTTTAAATAAAAAATATTTGGAAAAAGTAATGCGGATCACAAAAAAAATGCTTACATTCCCCTCTCCTGCCATATAAGGAATCTATGCCACTTCAGAAACTCATTTAGGCCAAATTCAGCCAATTAATAAATCAGACTGTTGTGTTTTCAGACTTCCAGATGGTAAAATCGCCACCTTTTATGGGCACAGATGAACTTTTAGCAGAGAACCAACCAACAGCATCTGTAAGTCATGTTTCCATCACAATTTGAAATGTTTCTCTAGAACAAGTTCCAATGGTTGCCCCCCCCCCATGATACACATACACACACATACACACACAAACATTACATAGCACTGTAACTGCAAAGACAAGATGAAAAACTAGGAAGAGCTTGGACAATGATTTATCCCGGAATGGTATAGATCTCCTGTCACGGGCAGGGGGGCTGGACTAGAAGATCTCCAGGATCCCTTCCAATCCTATGATTCTATGTTCTATGAGCCAGTTTGCTATAAGGGTTAAGGTGCTGGACTAGCAACCAGAAGATTATGAGTTCTAATTCTGCCTTAGTCATGAAAGCGGGCTGGGTCCCTTTTGGCCAGCCCCTTCCTCTCTCCACTCAACCTAACTCACAGGGCTGTTTTTGCGTCTGCTGCCTGGAGTTGCACAAAATAAAAGTGGCTAATAATCTAATCTGTTTATTTATCCATGCTATTTATATCCTACCACGACCCTATACAGACGCTCAGGATACATATAATGGATAGGGGACCAAAAAGACAGCAGGACCAGTTAACACAAATTGATATTCATTCAGTTCCAGGAGTTGCAGGCTGTCCTTGACTTGCAACAGTTCGTTTAGGTACTGTCCAAAGTTACAACGGCGCTGAAAAAAGTGACTTCTGACCATTTTCCACACTTAACGACCATGGCAGCAGCCCCGTGGTCACGTGATCAAAATTCGGATGCTTGGGCAACCGATTCATATTTAACGACGGTTGCAGGGTCCCCTGGGGTCACGTGACCCCCTTTGGCGACCTGATCAGCAAAGTCAACGGGGAAAACCCAGATTCACTTAACGGAACTCCTGCAGCGATCCACTTAAATCACTGCGGCAAGAAAGGTCGTAAAACGGGGCAAAGCAAATGTCTCACTTAACCACCTAAATTTGGGCCAGAACTTCTGGTCGTACGTTGAGGACTACCTGTATTCTTCCATTCTGCTGCTCTGGAGTTTTGAGTTTTACCCATTTTCCAGAGGGGCCCCTTCTGGTTTGATGAAAGCAAGCTATTGTGGTTTAGCGCATCACCATTCTCCAGTTCTGGGTATTTATTTATTTGCCAAGGGCCCTTCTTCCCTTCTTAGGTTTTTTTCCTCCAGGCAGAGGGAAGAAACAAATGTCGATGAAGCTTTCCTACTTTTCAGCCAAGGTTGGCAGTTAGTAGGGGAAGCCAACGAGTGGGGGGAGGGGGGAGAAAGGGAGGGGGGAATTTGCTGTGAAAGTATTGCACAAAAAAGCTGGCAACTAAAGCCAGAGTTAGCTTTTCCGGGGTTCATTCATGCCTGTCCTTCCATTCATAAAATTTGGCAAGCAGACAACATCAGTTGCAATCAGGGCAGCGTCTACTCTATGCTTGCTGCGTAAAGGATAGCTGTGACCCAATATTTTTCTTGAATTAAACCCATCGTATATATATCTGGGTGCTTTTAACTATCATCTCCTCCAGTTCCCCAGTAACATCAGAAGTAATCCAATTCTTTTTCATATAAAAATTGGAAGGTCGTCCGGAAAGAATAAAAAGAAGCTCTAAACTTTTTCCTGGCCTGCTAAGAAGGACCGTTATTATTATTACTATTATTATTAATAATAATAAAAGATTGTTTCCTCGTACAGTAAAGCTTAGATGTTCTTGGCAACAGCTTGCCAACTTGCCACGTAGCTACTTCATAGCTGGCACTGTCTATAAGAGCTGCTTAACAGGCAGAAATCCAACAGGCCCAGCTTTCCAGCACAGTGATTGAGTGAATCAAGACACATTTTGGGAACTGAAAGTCCACACCACTTAAAAGTTGCTGAGATTGTAAAACACTGTTCCATAACATTGCAAGGTAGGTGTGCAAAACATTGTATTATTGATCAGTGCTTATGGGTTCTCAAATTCTGTGCTGGAGAATGTCATACTTTGGGTTTGATTCGCACAATATACTAAGTCAAAGAGCTGCGATTAATGGGTTGTAGACTATGGCCATCAGGTATGACACCTCTTCAACTTCATTGAGTGACCTCAAGGCTTAGCCGATAATGGTCACACTTCTGGGAATTATACTCATCTATCATATTCTTGGGAAAGCCTGGGAAAGCCAAGGGAAATCATCAAAACAATTAAAAAACGAAAGCTAGAATATTTCGGACATGTGATGCGACGCCCAGAAAAATACGGCATACTCCATTTAATCCTCCAGGGAAAGACTGAAGGCAAACGAGGTCCAGGCAGAAGAAGAACATCGTGGCTTCAAAATCTAAGGGACTGGTTTGGACAAAACTCAGCAGCACTTTTTGGTGCGGCTGCTGATAAAAACAGGATCGCCAACAGGATCGCCAACGTCCGATAATGGATATGGAGGAGGAGGAGGAGGAGGAGGAAGAAGAAGAAGAAGAAGAAGAAGAAGAAGAAGAAGAAGAAGAAGAAGAAGAAGAAGAAGAAGAAGAAGAAGAAGAAGAAGAAGAAGAAGAAGAAGAAGAAGAATACTGAGTGGGAGAATAAGTGGTCAAAATTAGGGAGAGAAGAAGGAGGAGGAAGAAGAAGAAGAAGAAGAAGAAGAAGAAGAAGAAGAAGAAGAAGAAGAAGAAGAAGAAGAAGAAGAAGAAGAAGAAGAAGAATACTGAGTGGGAGAATAAGTGGTCAA